GGCGCTTTATAAAAACTTACTATTTTTATTATTAAATCATGGAGAGGCTGAGCCTTGATGGATTTGGAGCACTTAGTTGTAGCACTTGTAGTTTAAGGCAATGGCATCAGAGCAACTTTCAAAGTGGGGTGCCAGTTGTGAGACTATCAGGCATCAGCTACTGACTCATCAATTATAGGACCCCCCCAAAGTTGAAACAGTAGTCGATCCACTGCCCCCCCTCCCCTTTTGCAGCCAGTGATGAAAGGAATGTTTTAGGGCCTGCAAAATAGTGCAGTCAAGGTGTGCACATGTCTCAGAGAAGTGTTCCATCTAGAGTGTCCCATTGAATTGCAAAACTCAATCTTAAATCTAATAGGATCATGGGCCACGTGAAAATCAGCAGGTTGGAACCACAGAAAGTTCACTTAGTTTTTTTTCATTTGACAGTTTACTTCCAGTTGAAGGCCTTTCCAAAGTATTTGAACTTTTCAAAGCTATCTTTACAGACTTTTTGGATGGTTTTCTATTCGGACAACGTTGTTCATGGATGAGGCTCACAGAGTGAATTTCATTTTCACTGTTGACATGGACGGTAATCACAGCGCGTGTCTGACTTACATGTCAATAATAGCTCAAAATTTCAACACAGTATGTGGGATTATGGCATCCAATTTATGATTAGTTTTGTGTTAGAATTACGTTAATTATGCCCAGGGCATTCATCAGGGCTGATCGCTCATCACCGGCTCATGTTACCCAGCGCCACGCGTGTATGAACATACATGTGTATACTTTACTTGCACAGACATGAAATCACCCCGTAATTCTTGGCGTATCGTAAAACATAGGTCTTGCTCTCAACCAGAGTTCAATTTTCTGTGGTAACCCATGCATTACACATAACCTAGGTACCAGGCAATATGGACCAAAAGTGGTTGGCTACGTTCGCACGGTTCCTCCAATTCTACCCAAGTGTGGTGCGCGTGCATCATATTTCTGTATGTGCATTGGGAGTATACCCTTGTTGACCTGCAGGTCTTACTGCTGCCAAGCACGAATAGCTCGCTCGAATGCAGCCCTTGGTCACGACCTAAACATGCTCTGAGTTAGAGTGTCTCCGTAGTCTGAACAAAAACAATGGGGTTGGGAACCGCAACTCTACCTTTTATATAATATGGCAGAACAAAATTGACTGTGTTATGACATTTTGTCCGGTACTTGATTTGGTCTAATTTTGCACTCTGCCATTGCTTGTTTTCTTCCTGTTTGACTATAGACATTTCAAAGGTAAATACAGTTTGATAATTGAATGTATCATCCCTGTGCAACAGGAAAAGCATCCATTAGCTTTGAGTACACTGGGAGTGCTTATCATTACCTGTGTAAGATGACATTGAACTGATGTAATAGATTTGTTTTGCCGTGCTAGTTCATGTGGTGGCAAGCAGAGGGTTTGAATAGTGCCCTTATTTCCAACGATTGAAAATTCCTCGTATTGGGTCATTTTGCCCTTAACCTTACAAGCTACCACCTTTTTTCTTTTATTGACCACAATTTATTCTTTATATGAATGTTGTACCGACAAAGTCCAGTTCTTAATTAATACTTTGCCAGAGTTTAAAATGTTACTATGCGTAGAGTATTAAGTGACAACGACTTTGGGACCTTTCTTGAAATATAGGGTCTGACATGTGACATGTTTTTCTGTCCTCATTACACCTGACCCGTCTGACACAGAATAGACATGTACATGTAACTAAAATTGATTTCAAACTAATTTATTCGTTCGGTAGAAAATCTGTGGTACTTAATCAGTTAGAAATTTATGAATGTTTTAAAGTTACAAAATTTATTTGTCAGATATAACGGGGAGAGGAAAAAAATTTACCCCAAATTTATATAATCTGAATATCTGTGGATTCTCTGAATCCACAGATAATTTTTGCTAAGGTGTAGTCTGTTGATTGGTTGGTTGATCAAATTGCAAAGTTACACACGTAATATGAAGTCATTGAAACTTTTCATGTTAGTTTGTTCTTCTGGTTGACATGAGGTTATGCGCTGTCAACAGAAATTGTTCATGTCTGCCCAAGTTGTGAGCCATCAAGTAATCATTCATTAAACTTACATGTACCTGCCACAACCAGTTCAGTTTCTAAGTAGACAGCCTTCCAGTACCTCAATGCACACTTTCCTGATTCTGTACCAGTCTTGATCAATTTACTGTCACCCTTTTGGGCATCTTTGCCCATGACTATTTCATTCCATGTAGTGAGTAACTTTCTACATTCTGTCTTGATCTGTTTCTTATTTTATGTCTGTCTGATATTTAGGCCAGTGTCAAATGTGCTTCTGCCATTTCGAATTGTCAGAAGTCAAATGCCATATTAATTGCGGCAGGAACATGACATTTAACCCAAAAACTTCGAGTACAACCCTGCTGTGCTATCACAACAGCCTCTGTCATGTCACAGGGCAGCTACACGGCATGGCATCAAATGTCATGCCACCATCATGTCTAGTCAAATGAAATTTGCACTTGAGATTGACATATTTGGGATGCGCATGTGTGGCAACATACTTCAGGATGACAATTCAACACAAACAACATAAAAACATTTTAACAAATCCCAAATGGTAGTGAGTCATCGTCTGATTTTGTGGTTGCTGGAAAATTCATGAAATTAAAGTGACATTTCAACACCCCAAAAAGTTTTACATGTAGCAGTTTTTTGCATGTGCATGCAGCCTCCAGCATCGTTTGGAACAAACATTTGTTTTTAATCTACACAAACTTGCAAAAGGAAATTAAAAGTTTTTGTAAAATGAAATAACAGGGTAGAAAAATGAATTGATGTGCATCCATGAATTTTTAAAACAGAATTTGGAGACTAAATAACGAAATCACTGCATTGGATGGTGAAATTGCAGAGTCAAACAAAGAATCCACAAAATTGAATGGTGCACAGCTGAATCAAGTAATAATATTGCCTTGGAGGATAGCTGACTGGCAAGGCGACTATTGCGGGATTGAACGGTGAAATTGCCAAATGTGATGGAAAACGTACCAAATAAAATGGTGAAATTGCCAAATTAATGTTGAAATTGCAAAACGAAATGGTGAAAATGGCAAGATAATTTCTGAAATTGGCAAATTGAAGGTCAAAATTGCCATTGAATAGTGAAATCATCAAACGGAACAGCAAAACTAACTGTAAAATGAAATGTTATGATTAACTAAACAATGATCTTGTCACCAAAGATAGCAACGACACTCCTTAAAATCCTGCATACATCAGTTTCTCCACCACGTCATCTTCCATTAAATGCAACTATCATTTGACAATTAAATTCGTCATTTGACATAAATGCTGACTCTTTCACACGTTTGCCGCACTTAAATGAATTGGATTCAACATGGCCTTCTGTACATGTCATTTTCATGCCTTTTCCTCTCCCTTTTGCTTCGTTTTCAAGCATGCAGGTCACAATGGGTTCTGAGGCCTCTTTGATAAGCCCGCAGACTCTAAGAATCTGTCAGAGACAATCATGAATATTTGACACTCCCCATAGCTCTTCTGTCAATCTTAATACGATTCCCTTTTTGAACTTGGACAAACCTAAGACCATAATGCAAGGATATTTCAATAATTTTTAATCCCCATGCATGGACACGTAATGCTCACTTAATGTTTCGTTATACAAAATTGACAGTGGCATGCTTTATTGCACAACGGCACATCTCATTTTTAAAGGTATTGTATAACTGAGACTCCAAAAGCTTTCATCCATATGGGTCGTTAAAACCGAAATCAACACACGCTAAGACGGTGTTTGAAGAAAACTGAAATAAAAACCATGGCTTAGATCAATCAGTACTACCAGAGTAACAGGTGGAAGTGCATGTATGGCAATTAATAGTTACTGTCTAGACTAGAGTAGTGTGTGCTGCAGTATGACTATGATGGATACAAGTTTCTGTAATGAAAATGTGGGATTGGGCTTGATTCTCTACCAAACATTTTTCTCCAATTATTGAAAACCATTCTTAGGTGTTTTTTCAAATGCAAAAGCTTTTAGCTTCACCACTTAACTAGATGTTGCCCTCTGTTTTTGTCCTCAAATGTTAATATATGTTCTGTGTAATAATTTTAATTGTTTTAATGCATTTTGAATCTAAATATGTACACTCTCGTCTTGAAGTGTAGCAATGTTCTACCTATTTGTCTTTGTAGGGCAATGTTTCAATAAATGTGTGTGCAAATGAAATGTGACAGATTGATCCCTAACAGCTGATGTTAACGCTTTTCCCTCTAATTTGACCCACCACAACAAAATGAATCTCAAGTTACAAGAGCTACTGTTTTGAGTAATAAAGGTCTTTAAAAGCATCTTACACAATATCAACAGGAACCAAATACAATTTGTATGCATGTGGTATCAGTTTTTATCGGGTTGCCAAACTGAGTCATAAATCAAACTGGCCTCAAGACTCATTTTATTGGATCCTTTCATAAATATCATTTTTGGCTGGCAACTGTAACCTCAATAAAACTGTTTTCATTATGGCAGAAATAAAAATACAAAAACTCCATGTAGAAATGGAGATGAAAGAAAGTATACATTTCTTCTTTGTAATCAGTAGGCTTTTTAGCCATGATATCCCTGCCTTTAAGTTGCTCAGTCTTTTGCAAAACCACGCCTGACAGCAGCAGGAAAGTATCAAAAGGGGATGTATGTGCTACTGTCACTTTGAAAAGTAATCTAACTTAGAGAAAAACAATTTCAGCATTTCCAAAAGAGCACTTGGGTCCTCATAACATTTTCTATTAAACATATATATTTATGGATAAGTGCTCTAAAAATGACAGTAAATACATGTATTTGATAAAATTTGACAAATACTTTGACAAAAGTGATAAGATCAGCTGTTAGGTGAGGATCGTGTGTGTTGTTATACATGCACCTGTTTGCAAAACAAACTGATTTCTGCTGCATTGTTTTTCTTTCCCCAACAGCTTATGCCTCTACCCCAAGACTTACTGATGCAGGGTTCTTGTGTGGCTATTCTGTGGATATGAAGAATCTGTTGCATCAGTTGAGGACCTGCTTGCCTGCAAGAAGGGGAACACTTGGTGTGACTCTGCATTAGGACTGTTTATGAAAAGAGCAAATCCATAGCAATCTTTCTTCCACTTTATCCCGCCACTACTTCACCCCCTGCGAAAAATGCCCTTTGAGGAGAAAACTCATTGCATGTAGTTGGAAACTCTTGTACTTTTTTTAAATTAGAATGAATTTAAGATTTATTTGGCTTCCACCCATCATATTTACATTGCTGTGGATTTGCTTGGAGTTATTTATGTGACCAGCTCTATCGAAATCAGGAGTAAGTTGAGAAATGACAGTTTATCGAAGGGTGGCATCATTAAAGAAAACCTTTGAAGCGCAAACTGTCACAAAAAGAGCCTTAGCAGGTTTGACTTCACTTTCAAAGAGCTTGGCTTTTTCAGACCATCTCTCAGCCAAGGGAGGATGGGACTTCCAAAGAACTTGGTCTTCACATGCTTGATCTTTTGGAAACTAGTCATGCACGTAAAAGCACAAATTAAATCTGATATTGGGCTTTCATGTTATGGCTGTTTGAAGTTCATGGCCTCAAGCATGTTGTCTGCATCCATCAAGGATGTCATTGGAAAATAAAAGACTTGGAACTGAGACTGCTTTTTATTGCTTAAAAGAAGTGTGTAACATTCGGCATTTATTTCTGCTCTGTGGAAATACTGGAGAACATATGGGGGGAGGGAATTCTTTCCCAAAACATCTTTTGGATTTGAGATTTGTCAGAAACTATTCCAAATGCTGAAGGTACTAATATACAAATTGCAATGCCAATTACTTAATGACTTAGTTCTATTCCCACTTGTGATTGTGATAACTACAATAACAAAAAGTCCACTTTTCCATGTTGAAAGGAGAGCTGAGTGTTGTAAATCTTGAAGTTTTGATTTGGATGGAGCAGGTCACATCATTGCTAAAGTCTTGAGGTTTTTTAAAGCTTTAACAGTGTTACACTTCACTAGTCACTGAAAATGAATAAAACAAATGTATGTGTAGTTTCTAGAAAAGAATAAAAAAGTTTTTAGATAAAGAACCAGGCACATGTCTGTGAAGGGTTTAACTGGATAGTTGCTTCAAGTAGCATTAAGTAGCACGACTTTAATTAAGTCATCTAATCAACATTTTTTTTTTCGGGACAAGTTTTTTTTTTCCAGGTCAAGATAAAATGTGAATTACAGACATTTTTTTAAATAAATTGTTTTAAAACTGTTGGAAAGGTCTCAATGCTGTAAAAATAGTAATTCAAAAAAGAGTATGGTTTTGTCTGTGATTCCTGTTCTTCTATGCCCTGCGATAAAAGTTTGACAAGAACAGATAATCATCAGACATGTGCCTGGTTTTCTTGGTGATTCAAATTTCAGTCGTGTATAAATTGAACAACTTTTGTGTTTAAGTACAAAGTGACTTTCAAATTATCATACATGTACACTGTAGTGTATAGTCTACAATGGCATATAATACACATGATATACTGTATATTGTACATTAGACACAGTGTGTTCACTAATACAAAATGGACTTTGGGTATTTTTATTTTACTGTGCTTTTTCTGTGATTGTATTCATAACTGACCTGCAATTTAAACAGTGATTTTGCAGCCAAGTATTCCTTTGAAATGTTTACCAAGTCCTCAATATGTGCATGTTAGAGCTGATGATTTCAAGATATCAGTGTTAGCCTTCAAGAGGTTTGAAAAGTCAGTAGTGACAGTGGATGCAAGTTACTTTACCAAACAACTTCTATGGTAGGTTCTGAATTATGGGTTTTGCCTTTAAAGTTGTTTACCATTGATGAAACATTTTTCCAGCTTTGTGTTAGCAGAAATTTTTTTTTCTTGACAATATTTTTCTTATTTTTAATGTTTGCCTGACAGCCCCTTTTAAATTTGTTTGATTTATTCATGTACTCATTTAATTTCTGTCTGGGGCCCGGACAGATTTTGCAAGACCGATATTAGGCCCCCCAAAAAGGTCTCGAGTTTCTGGTGAGGAAGTTGGCTCCAAAAGTGGTATAGTGATGCAGCTTTTTTTTTTTTTTTGAACTGATGTGTGATAACGCACGATGTCTTCCGATGTGCACCGACACTTATATAGACTGGCGCCTGCAATTTTACAGTTTAAAAGCATTTTCAGCTTGTACGTGTACACGGGACATGAGACCACCTTGTTTGTCTGGTTACCGGATGCAAACATATAAAACAGAAATGACGTCATCTGAAAAGAGTGTCCAATTAAACGACTGGGGATTCAGTTTCCTTAACTTGTACATATTACTCGACTGTACCCCATCAAAAACACGTTAAATTTATGCAGTAGCAGGATTCCACTTGATTAAGCAAGTTTGGCAGCTTTTCAACATCATTTATACCAAATAAAAAACTTATTTGGCTGATGCGCAGGTCTACGTCAACACGTGAGCTAACCAGAAGCTGGGACTTTTTTTGGCCATACCCGACTTTTTAGAATACTTCATTTGTTGTGTTTTTTTTTTTTTTTTCATTTAAAAATGCAAACTAAAAAAAACCCGGGAACTCCAAACCAGTAATCAATGGTAGACAACGTGTCCAACACTGATAAAAGATTCTCGGATTACATTTGCTGGAAAGGAAATAGTGTGTATATTGCTTACGTTTTACATGATGTGCCATTGTAGACTTTGTTTTAATTTGTTTATAACAAGCTTCCGGTTCTGAATGGTGTCTTCTTTCCTGTAGGGGGTCTGCTGTCCATTTCGCAAGTTTCCAAGCATGCAGTTAGAGCCTTGCAGTTAACTTTCTATTTCTGCATCAAGTTGGCAGTGTTTGAAAACATTTATGTTTATAGTTACACTGTTCACCATTTGGCCATTAAATCTGTATGCGCCTGTGTAACAGGGTTTTATTTCTAAATGTAACACTTGACGGCAAATGTTCATCTTGGAACCATTAAGAGTTACATGTATGTTGCACTGTAGTTGGAACTTTGGCAAAGTATCTGTTCTGCAAATATTTTTCTTACTGCAGAAATCTGAAATGGACAGCAGGTCTTATGTCTTGAACTTCTGCTTTCCCCTCTATGCCCCAATGAACACACTGCATCAAATGTAAAAACAATTGAGATTTTTTCCCTATCAATGTATGTTGAATTTACAGTAGTCTTTCTGAAATTAAGAAACTCCTTAAAAGACCTTTTTATGTGTCTGTAGAGGGCGCTATATAAAAGTGAACATTACTTGTTAAAACTTGATGCAGCGTGTTCATAAAAGACCATTGACAAATTAATTTAACCAGAAGTGGGCCAAACAGTGGGTGGGGATTAAGCAGACTGGGCATGGTGAGTAAATTTTTAAGACCAAAATATGGATACATGAAACAAGCGGGTTATATCAGTTTGTTTTGTTGAAACTTTTGGCAATCCATTGGGTGATGCTTAAAGAAAATAGTTTCAATAAAGTCTTTATTCCAACAGATACTGTGCAAATGTGTTTTCTGTAAATTAAGATTCCTGAACTTTGACCTGACCTTTCAACTTTGACCCGACCTTTCAACTTTGATCCGACCTTTCAACTTTGACCTGACCTTTCAACTTTGACCCAACCTTTGAACTTTGACCTGACCTTTGAACTTTGACCTCTAAGGGCAGCCAAAAAAAAAGCCCAATGCATGCAGGCCCCCCCCCTGCTGCACACCCAAGTGGTGTGTCCCCGCCCTACAGACACCTTCAGACCAGGGAGTCCCCCTAACTATCTGCACCAACTAGTGATCGCTTTTTCTTCATGTGCACACATTTCCCCACTCTTGAAATCCAAGCATTCATGAATGACTTCAGTTAACTCCAACAGGACAAGGATCACTTGAACTCTTACCATCGGCATTGCTTTCTATCAAAGTACGGCATCTTGGTTGTTTATACTCTGTGTTGCTATGGATACCAGTGATCACTCCATTACTCCCAAGAATTGCTCATTAAAGAGAACCCTCCCACACGGGCTACTCGTCATGATCTTTGCAACCGACATTTCCAGAGCCACAAGTTACATTCTGTGCCTGAATCAACCAGATGAAGCATTTAACACACTCTAACGTTTTGCAAGCTTTCTACGACATTTGACAATGTTACAAATTTGTAGGGCATTTATCGTAGCTCTTGTCCACATAAATAACTTCCATGACAACTCCAATACAACCTACAAGTACTGTGTAAACCATGTTCCTTTTTCAAAAAGCAGTCTGTATAAGCCCAGTGAACTTGACTATTTGTCATGTGTGGACACCGATTAGCTTACAGAGCTAATCCCTCATACATACGAATTCATTCTATTTAAAGTACACAAAATGACTCCTTAGAAATGACTTGTGAACCGAAATCTGATCAAAAAGAAACAGAATTTGTCCCTTTTAGCTGCACAAACAGATTAGTTTTGCTGGGCAAACAGTCTTTCTAATTCTTTTTTACACTTTTACAATTAAAAAAAGTCAAATGAATCAGGGAAAATACCACTTGCTTTCTTCTTTTAATATTCCTGATTGAGAAGCATTTTCTTTTCCGCCATAAATTGGTTCATTTCCAGAAATATCTAAGTATGTTCTTAAAGTGTCGCATGGTAAGACTAAAAGGTTGATTTATGCCATCATCCGTCTTATTTTGCTCTATCAATTATGTAGAGTATTCACCAGTATTCTGACGCATTCTAGCATTCCTGAAAGAATGGTCTCTTTCATCTACTTTTCAATTTTCTTCTTTGCAACTGCAAATACAGGACAACTTTAACACAAGGCCAAACCCTTTGTTATATTTTGTGGAAAATTAGTTAGCATTTATCCATCAATAAGAAATTGAAATAGGTAGCAGTTGGTTCTGTTTCATTTTTTCATTGCACACATGTACATTTTATGGTTTTAAGTCGGACATGCAATGGGGAACAAACCATACTGCCTCACTGCTAGATAAACAGTGTGCAGTGGCATAGCAGTGGGGTTTTTCTCTTGGGCAATTTCCCCAATTGGAGACAGTGCCCTTGTAGGAAGAAAAGGATGGCTGGATTTTGGACACTGTTTTTGTCCAGAGTCGTTTTTTCTTCTTTTATTTTCTTTTTAAAATGGCAACTTTTTCAGGAATTCCTTTTCATCCAAGGCACGGCTCCCCATTTCCGGCTATGCCACTGCGGATGCGGCAGCTACCTACCCCTCAGCATCCTCAGAAGCTGTGGCGTCGTGACGACACGGGGATTCTACCAGTCCTGCTCCTGCAACGGCACCCATGGTTAAGCTTAATTGGAGTTTTCATCAATTCAATGCACTGTACAATTGGTTATACATCCTCACTCCTATCAACCCAAAGATAGTGTGTCTTCTAACATGGCAACGTTTGGGGTACACATACACTGCATGTCTACATAACAAATGGATTGTGCATGTGTATAGCTCACATGCAAAGCTGAGGCAGGCCACAAGAAAAGCTGTGATTTTTCAAAGTGAGCCAATTTCAAAACAGTGTCACTCATGCACAAAAGGACAGATTGTCTAGATGTGCATATGCAAGAAATGCATCTGACAAGTGACGAATGTACTGACTTGAAAAGGTTCAAAAACTAATCTTTCTTGATTGCATGTTGTCCTCAGTGCCACCTTTGTTGCTAACCTATGCCATTGCTTCTAGTGGAGCACTTTTCCATGTACATAGGTTGAACTTTCTTCAAGGACAGGTAGTTGCACTCTGGCGATAAGTTGTTAGATTGTAAGCAGGATAGATTACAAATAAACTTGAATACAGGCCAGAATTGGCATCAGAAGCATATATATGTAATCATATTTGATGCTTCTTCAAGACTGTTCGTTGTCAGTCCAATGTTAGTAGTGATGTGTGCTAATCATTCAAAAGCTTGGATGCCAAAGAATTCGGTAAAATTGTGGGGTTTTTTGCCTTGTATCTATTTTATTTCGGTCAACTACTTTTTCAAAGCAGTTATTTTGACATATGAGCATAAATGTACATGCCATTTAGCATTTACTTGAAACCAACAAGTGGCACAAATGGTTGATGATTCTTCATATTCGAAGCACTTCATGCAACTTACATGCGAGACATTTTTTACTGTCAACACTGCAAAAAGGTCAACATTTTCAAGCAACATGATGGTCTCTGATCCGACTGTGCAGAGTTTCTTAGAGCCTGCCTCAGCAAAGTGACCTTTGACATTGATTTCTGTTTAACAATGGCCTTTCTGAAACAAACATGACTGATTGTAACTGGTATGACGATCTGGCATCACACTCTGTGCTCTCAGATGAAAAATACTGACAACATGCCATATGTTACTGCAAACAAGCAATAACTTTTTTTTCTATGGTTTGGTATCAACTTTCCTACAATTTAAGCATCTTTGACAGTTTTTTCAGAAAAATCTTACTATTCTAACAGATTCTCAGCAGATTCTAACATTGTCGTTTGTATTAAGATATAGGCTCCTTGACCTTAATCTATTGCAGTTGTGTATTTTTCACAACAGTTGTTCATACTTTTATTTCAATTGCAATTCCTAGATTCAATCCTTACAGTCATGCTCCTCCAACCAATTGGGTTGATAAAATCCAGTTTGGAAGCTAAATGTAACCAGTATTCAGTACCAGTGCATTCTGAATGTCATGTTTGTATCAAAATAGAGGCCCGTTTCTTTTACCTTTGACATCTGACCAAAATCAATTCAATGATGTACATATAGAAGCAGATGCAACATTACACAGAATGTTGCATAGAAAGATTACAAGAAGGCGGTACCCTATGTAATATCTAGAGTGACAGAAATCAAGATTTGGTGCTTACACCACTTTTGAATGGTACATTCAAGTAGTGGGTGTGTAGCACTGCACTAGATTGTTCAAGAGAATTAATCACATGCAAGTGCCACGGTACACATGCGTTGATGTTCCCAAACAATTGTGGACGTTAAACAAAAGAATTAATGACCATCCACGATTCCCGATACGTCCACGATTGCCAAACGTGTACAAAGCATATTAGAGGCCTTCCAAAAAAGTTATGAACATGAGAGGACGAGAGGAACGTCCACGATTGCCAAAAGAAACACATTTCTCTGCATGTACACGTACATTTGCAACCATTGCCTGAGCAAGTTTGGTATTTTGTCTACTACATCACTGAAAAAAATGCATGGAGCTGGTTAGTCTTCAGTCTTTGGCAATACAAGTGCAACAGGTCCCAAACGTTCTCCACCTATAAACATGCAATGTTAGCTGCCGGGGGCAGGATACTGAACAAGCACAAGATTTACAGGCTGTGGCTAGCAAGTACTCTTTCATGAGAACTAAGTATGAACAAACCATTGTACAAAGTACCCTTAGCCTGTCTTTCTTTACAAAGCCTCAATTGATGAGGTACATGTACATTTGGTGATGAAGGTTTACAATTAAATGCACTGTAGTCTTTTTTCCTTTCATTTGCACAAGTTTAGTCATGGGCTGAAATTTTGAATAGCATGGTACAGAGAGGGGGTACCATTACTTTCTTTCAACCAAATGCCTTTCATTGCACGTTTTCGCCAGGACTACACACTTTTGTTTGTTATAACCGGAATTTCGTTTTAGCTGATTTCGTAATAACGAGAGTCGACTGTAATTTCGATTTGGATCATCTGCATGTGGACTACAATTTTCCAAACAATCACGCTTTAAAGATTTGGCATTTAGGTGAAGAACTGTTTGGGACACATTGCTTAATACTGGAAAGACCAGTTCATCCTTTGGGCCAAGTACAGTTGTAAGGCAAGCTAATTAAAGCCCTACAACTGTGTGTTGCATTTAAACTGGGATGAAACCATATGACAATATCTTGTTGGCCTGCTGGCATGTAAAGTTTGTCTTGTTTTACCTGCGACTCACATAAATCAAATGACCATCACAGAATCTGTGACTTTTATTCACTTCTGCTAGAGAGCAAAGAATGCTACTTGGCATCCACTGGGGTACACGTGCTCTCCAGATTCTAGCACTTGATAGTTTGAGCTATCATGGCCCAGGTGCAGACGGCATTACAATGTGCCATTGCACTTCACTGTGCTGCATTCAAGCACTCATGATCACTGGAACTCTGACACGGGTGGAAGTTTTATCCATTGATGTGCCTTGTATCATTTGATGTGATGCCTTTCTTGATCACTGATGGCACCTTGATACAGGCTGTTTCTCTCTGTCCAGACAATCAGGTTTGTCTTTAGCTGCAACAGTGAGTGACTTTTTTGATTTCTCACAGCTCTGCCACTGATTTGAATTCATGAAGATTCCGAGAAGTTTGGAAAACAAGCCAAGAGGAGAGAACAATTTTGAGTCGCATATTCCAGAGTAGCATGTTCACTGAATCAACAGTGTTCATATCTTTTTTCACTGTCAATGGCTTCATCAAGAATTCAATAACAATACAGGTCAACTTTTCAGGTAACCTTTTCCCTTCTACGGGCCCATTTACACAGACAAGTGGCAATAGAATTCCAAATTGTAACAAATATTGCACACACTGCTTTTACACTGAGAGCAGACAAACCCTGCAGCAGGACGATAAACTGCTGCATTAGGAAACATCACTGACTTTTCAAAGATTCTACATTGAGACTGACCAATCAGTGGCTTCATTACGTATGACATCATGAACTAGCTCTCAGAGTGTTAAAGTGAGAATAGGCATGAATTCATTTGTGCATTCAACTCTTCCCATGAGGGCACCACTGGCAAGGTTGAAAGTCATTAATGTCACGATCCGCATACTGGATGGATTTCCAATTTGTACATACCTGTAATTGCTACCATAGCCACTTTTCTGTTGCCACTCGTCAGTGTAAATGGGCCCTTACACACAGTACTGCCAAAGACTGAAGACTACATGCACAGAGCCATTGGATCTTATTACACAGACATACAGGCAGCATGACTCCTAGCCATGAGACACACAATTTGGGACTTTGGGTTCAATGGGCAAGATGTGAGGATGTACAACCTTGTCAATCAGTGCATGAATTGATCCTCCAAACTCCAATTAAGCTTACCATGGATGCCTTTAGGCAGGACTGGCTCCCCGTGTCTGACACCACAGCTTCTTGTCAGGATGCAGAGGGCATCTTGTCCACCGCATCCATCATCTGGCAAGGAGGCAGTATGGTTTCCCAATCTCTGCACAACTTCTCCTTGTAAATTCAAGAGTTTGGCCTTTCACAGAACTTTTGTTTCCTTTTACCTGTTTTAATTCTCCGAAACATATTTTGGTGTCATTGGATTTTCAAAGTTGAGCTACACATTTCATTTTTAATACAGATAGATGTTGGCACAATGGCTTTTAAAAGTTGATTTATTACAATGGATATAACTAAATAACAGCAGTGGCAATCTTGAAACTGGACTCAGATTCAACTGCCTATTTTCCTTACTGCTGATTTCACTTCAGATGAATTTTTGCTTCAACTTTCATTCTTTCACAAAACGAAAAGATAGATACAATTTCTTTGAGACTGAATTCAAATCTTTTTGAATGGTTTGCAATAGCTTCTCAATCAGGAATCAGTTTTGGCTTTGTTGTGATTAAACCAGAGTGTCTCACGTGTAGCAGGACTATTTTACAATTTCGGCTCTGAGATTAGGAATGGAGCTTTTTGTCTTTCAGTTTTTACAAGAATGTTTGTCTTGCGAGTTAGTGTACAAAAGGCAAAAAGCAGAAGGGTTGGTTTAAATGATCTCATTTTCAGTGGCATGGCTCAAAGGATAAATCATGCAGATTTTTTGGCTAGGAATATAAACCGTCCACACCTTTTTCATTTCATTACAGTTTTGATGACTGTGTCTTCTCTGTCCTTTTGAGGTCAGGTTTGCCTTGGAACATGGTAACACAATACAATGTAGATCAATTTAGGAGTTGCACAAGGAAGTTATCAACACAAACAGGAGTTACGACAATTGTCCCAAAATTCACAACACTGAGAAACATCAGAGATAACTCACAAAAAGTTAGCATGGGTAAACATCTCCTCTGTCTGGTTCAAAACACGATGCAACTGTAGGACATCTGAAGTTGTGGGTGTCGGATCAAGAGTAGGTGTAAGAGTTATCCCTCAATTCGCAATCCTAAGAGTGCAGGATGGATTCATTGGTTGCCACGGTAACACATCGTACAAGCAGCCTCGATCCCAGCTCCTTTGAAGGAAAGCAAGCCAACTGTAAGAGCACAAGTGATCCTTACCCATTGTAGTCAACTGAGGTATCCATGATCGCCCAGACAACAAGAAGCAGGAAGAAGGTGCACACACAAAGAACAGCCAACCACCAGCCAATGACAGACAGCAGGGGCGACTCACCAGACCTGTCGGTGCCTGCAGGGCGGGGAACACCACCCGGGCGTGCAGCAGGGGGGGCCTGCATGCATTGGGCTTCGAGTGATTTTAGGATGGAATGCCTGTAGGTGAAACATGAAGTAATAGATTGTTATACATTGTTACATGTATTGGGTTTTTATGATGGCATAAATCGTACAATCAGCACCAGAGATAGAGAAATGATGCAAGTGTTTGTTTGTGATAAGTTTGGGAGAATTAATTTCTTGAGAATCTTTTGGCATTTCTCCAAAGTAAACACGTTACATGTATCTTTATTACTGAATTTCATGACTTTGCCAAAAAAAATTGAATGGAATGCTGACAAGTGCACATTTGAATTTAACAGCATTTGTGATGAGGTACTTCTCCTGAAAACTACCAGTTAAGAGTCCAACTGAATGGATACCTTCAAGTTTGACTTACATGCCAGTGCTGGTTATACAAAAAATGAATGACATGGTGGGCACAAGATTGATCTGTGTTGAAAGGAGACTAGAGTTTAGGATCAGATGCACCGTTACACAATTCAAGATAAAGTGCTCCAGTGTGATCAAAGTAATCTTCCAAAACAGATGACTCAGAAATGGAAACACAAGGGTTTACTTTGATATTAGAGCTAGCTGGTAACTCAGAGATAACATACATGTATCTCCAAATTTCAAATAAACATGTGCCGTGAACAGTTTAAACAACACCAAATGACTTTGCCAAAAAATCTTTTGAATGGAGTACTGACAAGCTCACATTTGAAATTAAGTGTTCTGTATCAAAGGAAATAAATCATCAAATTTGTAAAACTAAATGAAAACGTATGCACTTTTTTTGCTGTTTGTCTGAAACAATGACAAAAGGTTGTCTTTTTGCTTTCTTCTTAAATAAGACAAAAATTGTATGTACATGTACATGTATGTAAATTTCAAGCTCAGGTATTTGTACATGTACCATTCGGCAAGCAAAGCGCGAAGTAGGACCATGACTGGCATTTCTATCAGCATCCAATATGCAGATATCAATTCAAAACAGCAACACTTTTTTCTCAACAATTAGCTGGCATGACAGATGACCAATCTTGTGCCCAGATAAAATACAGGCATTACCATCCAGGCATTTTTAAAATCACTTCCGATTATCTTTCACTCCACATAACCGACTCTCACAAAAACAGTCAATTGGATTGATGACAAATAAAGGAGCCTCTGAAAGCAATGGATCTACCAGAGATTTTGTTACACGGAGCAAAGTGTCTAATTTGCTACTGCATTTTCTGGGATTGAGATATCTTTACACAAACTTCTTTGATGGAAGTCAGCGTAAGGTAAGTCAGAGTGACACAGCACTGATTTCAATCTGATTTAGAATGATGTTTGAAAAGAAATTGTTTGAACCCTCACATTTCATCTAAAGAGGGGCCACAAGTTTGTGCAGACTGAAAACATGCAAACCAAAGCCAAAAATTTCCAGAATTAATCAGTTTGCTTTTGTGAGAACCCAGTTACCTTGGCAATGACCAGATAAGGTATAATTTTGACATACCTTAAGGCAGTCAACATAAATTGTTTCATTAAAATTGAAATTTGATCAACACCAACAGAAACTCTGTTTTCCCCAAGGATTAAAAGGGTACTATCAACAATAGATTTTACAGCAAAATGACTAAGAGATGGAGCCAAAATTGAATTCTGGTACAAGAAAGAATGAAAGAAAATAAATGAAAATCTTCAGGGAAGTTGTTGACTGCCTTTCAGGTGAATGTCTTTCCATCTCAAGCTTTGTCTAATACTCCACCTCTCCTGCCCTTGGGTGCCCTGAAATTTGATAACCATTTCCAGAATTTTTTATTCTTTTTGAAAGGATGAAGTCCACCAGACAGTCTACATTCATTTTCAATCAACTGGAGGTACCAGTTTGTCTCCGTTATGGTACATGTATAGTGTTGTTCATTGAGTACATGTACATTGTAGGAAAAAAACAAATTACAAAGCTCTGACCAATTTGTAAGGATTATCCTTGAAATACTTGGCTTAGAGTAGGCCTACCCAAGGATGATTTTTTGTGATCCAACAAAACCTTAATGATTCCTTATGACACCCAGGCAAGAGAGGTCAAGTGCTATTTGACATATTCTAAGAGTTCAAGTTCCATGCTGTGTTCGAGTGTCCATGGCGGTATATGCCTCAAATTGCCAAGAGTCAGTTCATTTATGGCATTTATGTCATCACATCCCAGTAGGCTATGGCAGCACACATCCCTGGCGTCTCCTTAGCAATTGTTGCATCTCCAAAGCACACTTTGTTCCTTCCTTGGAGCAAGTCATGGTATAGATCATCCATCACACCATTGTCTGAAAGGGCTTATCGGCAAACTTGCTCTCTCTCTCCCAAGCTTGGAATGTATCATAGTCATGGGCAGAGTTGAATTGTGTTGAAGGGTTTGTCTGACATTCTGCTAGAGGACATGTGCCCAAGCTGAGCTCATCTGCACAGTCACTAAGACGTGGAAGACCTGCAGAAACCACTCAGAACATCCCGCAAGAGTTAACATCAAATTGTGCAATGAAGGTATTATACAGGGCTCTTGGTGTGCTTGCTGGATTGGTCTCAGCTTTAGAGCAAGTGAGTGCCTCTCCATCTTGCTCAATCTCAAACAAGAAGGGGTTGATCTAGGCTGACACTGCATCCTTCTATACTTAGCGTGGATGGCTCTTGCATTATCCAGTTTGGTAGATAGAGACATCACAAGACAAGTTGAATCAGGCACATACATGAATGCACAAACAAACATGTACCGCAGCATTCATTCTAAAAGCTGAAACTCGTCTGTGAGTAACTGCCATCAATTAACAGAACACCAAACTTGACAGACTAAGATCTGCCTAACTCAAGTTGATTCATTCTTTGCGTCCTCTTCTGAGTATCTGGCCAATGGCAGCAGAACAGAGATGGTCCAGCAGTACTGCAAGAAACAACTTGTGGGACAAGCACTACTAGCACCAAGTTAACCTAAGGGGTCTGAGGGTCTCGTCTATTTAGTTCTGTTCGAACTGCATCTTCATACTTCTCGAGGTCCAAACTGTGGAATGGTAGTGCTGGTGAAGGAATCCAAATGACCACAAAAAACCCACATCATCAAATCAGCAGTGGTAGTCAGAGACCTCTGGTGACATCAAGCAACCACACCGTGGAACTGTCATGCACATGTATCTGTTTGGTCAGGTGACATGTCGAGCCAACAGTGACTTTCAGCAAATTGTTGAGGCCTCAAGTATGGCAACTGATATCATCAACCTGCGGTGGCTTCCCCTGTGTCTCTGAAGAATTTTCCTCTCTTGAATGATGATACATGTAACATGTACATCAACACTGTGGCAAGAATTCTTCTGTGTGTATATCAAAAGGAAAGCAAAAAATACAAAACAGTAAGTCAACTGAGATTGTCCGCCAGTCTGACTACATATACATGTACAACCCTTGTGGTGCAAGTATTTAGTGCCACAATTTACAGCTTTGAGGAACAAATGTATCAAACAGGAACACTGAAGTGAAGGTGAATCTTGTTTGAGTGACATGCCAACAACTTCTTTAGTCTCAAATGCTATTTGGTACAATTCCTTGAGCGATTTAGCATTTGGAAATCATTTATTATGGCATCAATGCTAAATAAGTTGAAAGGCACGTTCAGGCTATACATGGAAGGTAACACAAATGGCATTTTGACAGCCAATTGGAAAATAATGACAAATTATATGTATATGTAACAAGTAGAAACATGTATGCGGAGTAACAAAATCTTTTTGAATCTCACCTTGGAAGGCTAGTTCTGCAACACTGATCAACCATGTGCACGTTACACTGCTACCAAAGAAGCTTGCAAGTCATGGCAATATTTCCAGTCTGAAGAAAAAAATTAAAAAGGAGTAAAATCTTTTTTTTACTCTTGTGCAAAGGGGTCATTCCATGAGGTTGGGGCACAGTTTGTGATGGTGTCTATTGCTACGTGGGTTCCGTAAAAATGAACAGCTATTTCCCTGCATAAGGATTCCAAATTATACATCTTGCAAGGCTAAATACAGAGGTGTGTGTTATTTTTACAGAATAAATGACGTACTCTACAGATCATGACAGATTGCAAAAGTTACCCAAGTAACGAGGACACGGTCACAAATTGTGCCCCAACCTCATGGAATGACCCAAATACAAATGACAGAGCGTAAGCAAAGCTGTGACATGTACATGTAGCTGATGTGAAGGAAGGATTAAGAAAATGACAAACAAGTTCTAATGGGATATTTAAATCACTTGGATCGGCAGGTGTATGTACATGTACATGTAGGAGTTGTCATTTTTAACCTGTACAATGACATTAACTGCATGTACACGTACATGCATGTTCAATGGTTTTCAATGGTTTGAACTTTTTGGTAGCCAATGCATGGTGCTCAATGAGTTTCTACTGAACTGGTAATGAAGATTAAACAGGCAGAAAAAACAAATACTATGGATTATTGAAAGACGCGCAGTCTTCACTTAAAGACACCTACATGTACCTCTCTTTATATTATTAGAGATCTCGCTCCTTGGACTAAAAATAACTGCCAGGGGAGGGGTAATGGGATTTTTTAGTTTAAAATTTCAGAAAGAATTCCATATACGGAACGCCACATAACACACTAAGCACAAAACCTCGGAGACTGCTCTTTAAAAACTGTGTTTTTTAAGTGATTACCTCAATATTTTCACTGCTTAAGTCGACTTTTTAGCAATAGGCTTTCCATATATGGAATTCTTTCAAAAATTTTCATTTTGCCCACCCCCCGATCAATCCAAGACCTGGATATGCCATAGTCCGAGTAACTAGGACCCTACAAATTGTTTTTTTTATCACTTAGGCATGGACATGATCAATTAAAACCATTCTCAATGATCCGCTCATGACATTTCAATACTCTGTCTTTTGCATACACTTTGAAAAGCACAAGAAGATGGCAACTTCGATTTCTAGCCCAGCAACAGGAGAGTTTCTGATTAGAAGGGGAATTGCTCTTTTCCCCCAAATGTAAGTAAACTTTACCACAATCATTGGAATCTTTAATTCCCACTGAATCCTACAGTGAGTGCATTAGACAGTTTAAGGATCATTTTGGGGGTGAATTCTGAGGAATTTGATTCAGGGTACGGCAGTGTACTAGCAACATGTATTTGGAGAGCAATCTGTTGAGAAGGACTATGAAGGGTTCTTGGATGCTACACCTCTATTTGTAGAGAGTCCTTGTTACTCGGACCCTGCTGGGACCAGACACGCTGGCACTACTGTGACTGCCTTGGATACATATAAATTATTGTTTTAAGCTCTCAGGGCTATCTTCTTGAAACTGATTTAGTATTGTTTTCTTCGCGAGTCCTGAGTCCGGAAAGCCTAGACAGGGAGGATTCCTTTCCCGGTGGGCCAGGCATGCCAGGTATTACGGCATATTATGTAGCCCCACACGTAGGCTATAGTGGCTCTCTTTTACAATCTGTCTCTTATCTGTCGCCACCACAGCCCAACTTCAAGGCATGTCTTTAATGCCTGAAATCTAAACTGCAAACTTTGAATCCAAATATCTTCCAAAATGAGAATGACTCAACAATTTTACTTACACCGGCATACTCCTCAGAGTTTGGACTTTTATATGAGCACCCTAAAGCTTTAAAAAACCGTACAGGCCTATTTTCCAATGTAAGAGCCCCGCCTGTGATAGCCTGACCGTGGGTGTCGCCATTTTGAAAAACCGTAAAGGCAGTGCTTTGTGTATCGGAAGTCAAGGCACCCGACGGGTGTCGTAGATGTTTTCACGGTATTGCTTAGTAATAAGTTGCGCGCACATTTTGCTAGTGTACAATACGCCCACAGCACGTGTGTGGAGCATGGTACATTATTTATTCAAATTTAATTTCACTGGTTTCTTGTTCATTTGTCACGCAAGGTGACAGGGAACCAGTTTTGTGTGGTACATCCTATCACCAGAGCGCCTGTTGGGTGCCTTGAAATCTGACGCATGAAGCACTGCCTTCGTTTTTCAAAACTGCGACACCCACGGTCAGCACATAAGCCAGGCTCCTACACATAAATATCACAGGCCAGGTTTTTCAAAGCGCCATAGGCTTACATCGGAAAATATTCGGTTTTGGAAAGCTTTAGGGAGCTCATATAAAAGATCAAACTATGAGGAATAGTTGGTCATTCTCATTTTGAAAAATATTCAGATAGGCCTACGAGTAGGATTCAAAGTTTGAGACATCCTGCAGTTTGGATTTCAGGCATTTAAGACATGCCTTGAAGTAAGGCTGAGGTGGCGACAGATAAGAGACAGATTGTAAAAGAGAGCCACCACAGCCGTACACGTGTGGGGCTCGGCGTAACCGTGGCGCGCATGGCGCATCCCAACCGGACGGAACACGTGCCCCGTCCGAAAACTGGCCCATACCAAGATTCACATAAATCTATTAACAACACAAGACAGTTTAAGAAATATTTAAACATACCTTGAGGTTGTATCAGTCGTTATGCTGGCGTGTTGCGTATACTGTAGTTGAGTGAATTCAATAAGGGCAGCAAAAGTTTAAATTTGTGAGAAAAATCCATGGCGCTGTGCACGAATGGACTTTTTTTAAAAATGGCGGAATATGTATGTTTGTTTGTTTGTTTGTTTTAAGTTGAAACAGCAAAAATCCAGAGAGACAGTATGTGTGCTCCACCAAGCAACACGGCTGGTACTTGTTACATGGCAAGGAACCACTGAAAAAATATGGAGGCTTTTTAAATGAAAAACCAAAATGTTTACCTGGAGCGTAGTCCTGGGGGTGGGGGTATGTTCCTCACTTTGGGGGGGGAGGCTGGGAAGGGCTTTTGAATCATCCCCCATTTTTGTGAGAAAAAATATGAAGGCGGCAGATTTTGAGCATGTTTAGACGTCCCAACAACCAAATGTATTTAATAGTACTTAAAGAGGCAAAAAGAAAAAAGCTATACACCGTTTAATAGCTGATGCCCGGCCTCCCAACTGCACCCCCCCAAGTTCCACAGCTGTTTGTACCAACCCAATTTTGTCTTGCCGTAAATATTTATCTTGTTTGATATTTCAGAGCCTGGAAACATGCCATAACTGTTCACTTTGATAAAACAGACCCAAAAAACACGTGGAATTACTTTGTAATAAAAGTAGAAAAAAGTAATTCTGATTCAGTTGTTTTGTTGTCATTCGTCGACAGGTATGTTTAATGTGGTAGGACTGATGTAAAAATGTGCATAAGTGCAGCCACTAAGCTTCAAATAAGTGGTGCCCTCAAAGTTGCAGGAATGTTGCCAACAATGGTTGCAGTACAGTGTCTAAATGGTTGCAGTACAAGTTGCAGTAACGCTCCAAATGTTTCAGTACCGTACCAACTTAGTTGCTAAAACGTCCCTCCAATGTTGTAGTGTTGTACTCACGACGTTGCAGTAACGTCACTGGAATGTTACATTAAAGTTGCATAGACGTGCCCAAAGGGTTGCAAATAGGTTTCAATATCGTGCTCATCAAGTTGTAATCACGTCCCAAAGAGGTTGCATACGCGTATCTACAACTACATTTAGCTACTACGTTCCAAATGTGTTGCAATGCAGTGTCCGATACGTTGCATTTAGGAAGCTGCATAGTTGTATTGACGTACCCACAAGTTGCACAAACGTCCTCGCCAAGGTTGCAGTAATGTGGCAGTTAAGTCGTGGTCGGGTTCCTACAGGGTTGTAAAGACTTATCTGTTACGTGCCCATTAAGTTGCCAAAATGTTGTGCCTTGGTAAAAATCAGGTCGTAAATATGTTGCTATTACGTGCCCAAATGTTGTAAAAACGTGATATTTCGGTTGTCTGAAGGTTGCAGCATTGTTGTAGACACGTCAAAACATTACGTTGTATTAACTTTGTAAAAACGTCTTCATAACGTTGTGTTATAACGTTGTGGCAACGAAACTGGGAGTCGACATTTTTACGTCGCTACAACGTCACTTTTGTAACGTTGCGGAAACGAAAACGTGACCTTGTGGCAACGTCGTCACAACGTCAAATTGTTAGCTGGGATGATGTTCTCACCAATTTAGGCCGTTGCGTCAAACACAAATGTCAAAACACCTTAATTTAATTGACGTCTGTGCGATTTAACTCCATTTTTTGTCCGTGCCGTTTCACCACATTCTATGGAAAAATCGACAAGGCATGCTCAGATAATTTCTCCCCCTTAGATCAGTTTGCGCAAAGGCCAGTTGCCTGATGTGATGTGAACATCATCCTGGATTTCGGTTTCAGGAAAGCTGGAAACTTCTTAGTGGCGCCAAGACCAATGACTGCAGATGGGCCAAGATTCGAAGACATTGAAGGTATACAAAAGCTGCCAGAGGCTGCTTTTTATCTAGCCAATCAACTATGTAAATTTTTTCGCCGTCAAAAAATCCCCCAAATGTACCTTCGTCACCACCACCTTACATGTAAGTCCATTTATCTACTTCACTATATTGACGAAATTTCTCGGTGATGTTCATGCACTCCATCCAGGAAAAAGTTAGCATGAATCCCGTCAGCTTAATGACAGGGAATGCAGCTTACCAGCACGAATACAGCAAGACTGAAACCAGACACTAATGGCCATCCAAAAAACATCCCTTAAGGAAGATCACATTTGCAAGGTATATCAAATGCTGTCAATGTTGGAAATTGATTTTAAAAAATCGACTGAATTAACATTGGTAAACGTGGTGTGTGCTACGTGCGGATCCTCAGTCCTTGCGGAAGCCAAGGAATCAGCGATTCCTCTCGTCAACATTTTTTTCTCTCTGGCTAAGGTTAAAAAAATTCAACTGACACGGAACAAGACTCGGCCACTTATTGCCATTATTAGCAAAACCGAGATTATATTCCTGCTTACAAAACCAAACCTCAGCCTTCCTTTGATAGTGGCTCCAGTGAGAAAAACAGGAAGGTATTGTATATTGGACTCTGTTTTTTTAAGACCTCGGGCTTAATGGGTTGTCACGGTGCTCCAAAATAAATTTCAGACTTGTCAATCTGTGTTTAGATCGAGGACTGAAATATCACGTCCATTAACAGATATTGTGCAGGTTTTGGCAGTTCCATTAAATGAAGTGCCGATTAATTACATTAAGGGAAAAATGTTGGAAGTGTCCAGCTGTTCAGAGATTAGGGCAAAGTACGCGCAGCAACGTCAATCATTAACTAATCTCTCTGTGTTGGCAGTTTAGCTTAATCAGATGTGTCCAACTAGTATATACGATCAGCATTGAAATTAGAGAAAAGTCTACAAAGGTCCATCTTTTCTCTAATAGGATTTAACCATGAAAGTTTTCGAAGATTAAGGCAGGAACAAAAAAGCAACCTTATTACTGAATCTAATCTCAAGAACATTTCATTTTTTGTACTCAGATTTGCACTTCAGTCCCTGACATCCAAACAATAAAACTTTAAGCAAACAAAAACAATTTCCTTGCTGTCTTTTCACTTCGGAATGTTGAAAGCATGGTTGAACGCAAACATCAAACTAGTCATCCATAAGACCCTATCAAACAATTCAAATCTCCATCGACAGTCCTCAAGCGATTATACAAGGTACTTACTTTTATTTTTCAAAGCACAGGTACTTACTGTCGTTTCTTTCACTTTCTGTGTAGTCTTGTGGTATGACAGAATGAAAATAGAGGGCAAGGTGTTCAACATTTTCTCCTTCAATTTATGCCAGTCTAGTCCATGATTAGCAGAATTAGCAGATTTAAAGTGCAAGACACTAGGACACATGCACATGATATCTAAGCCAACATTTCTCGTTTAATGTGGCAATCTCAATTACCATATCTTTGACGTAATTTTGTCATTAGATTTGAGTTTTCACAGGTAGAGAAAATGCAAAAACAAAGTTACTGATGAATGTTGCACAATCAAACCATACATCAAACACATCCAGAATTCACTGGGCAATTTGTTGGAGACATGGGTTTGTCTCAGAAATACAGTGCATCCAATTTCAACACATTTGCTGCAGTGTTTGTACCATTGCTTGGCATAATCCGGACAGTACATACTGACCTGAAAAAAGTGGAATATTTTTGTTTGCCCCCAATCCCCAATGTTACAAAGAGGGAACGTATTAAGGAATGGAAAAAGAGATGAATTGATCAATACAGACTAACATTTAAGAGTAATTCAAATTTGACAGACCACTTTGCAAATGTAGAGACTGGTGTCAGATCAATGTCATTTTAATTCAACTTGCTGGTGAAAGGAGTCAACACTCTGTTGTCAGAGTTTTTGTACAAAAGCGGAATGCCCAAATGATGTACATGCACATAATACAAATGAAGAAAAAGGAAGTGATATCATTAAAAAGAAAAAAAAATTTGAGTACAAGAGTTCTTTCATATCTTATACATTACATTTGCATGTACAAAATGGATAAGCTCTAGTGTTCTATCAAACAACTACCCTGCTTTTTTACGTCATGTCCAAGAATGACAATCGAGTTATTCAAACCAACATATCCCATACAAAAGCTGTAAGTCAAAACAAAATCAAACAAAATCCTATTTTAAGGCAGTGAGTAAACTTGTCAACTATTTTGAAGCAAGTACCTTTTCTGCACAGAAAACTGATCCCTACTCTCGGTTACTGGTGTGTCTCTGTACAGTGACGAGCCATGCCCAAAATGAATTGCTACTACTGGTCTTTTGAAACAAATTATCTCATTAGTATTAGATAAATGTATTAATTAGAAACTCAGTACTACTGTGCTGACACCATTACACAGTCCATTACACCAAGTGGAGACTGAAATCTCACCATTAGTTGATGCACTAGGGCTCAGGTGTCCGGTTTTTGACTTTCAAAATGTCCTGAGTGAAGCTCTTCTTCAACCGAGACACCTAAACCGGCAAAGAATCTAAATACAGTTTTTCCAGTAAATGCGCAGGGATTGTGTTTCCTGATCGGACAGCATCACTCCCCTGGACTGGCCAATTCCCAACATGGGGCACATTAGCAGATACAGGGCCCGAGACAGACACATCCGTTGCCCATAATCCTCTGGGCTTGTGCGCCTTATCCGTAACCAATTTAATCAAGCCACGCCAGCAGGGCCGGCGCCATGTCTCAAACAGATGTCTTCCCAAATTGAAGATGTCAGGGTAATATTTAGCCGAATTCCATGAGACTGATCCATCAACTTTTGACTTTGATCAGAGTACATTTCACTTTGCATTCTTCCCCCAGGTCAACAAAAAAGGGTTTTTGATACCCCAAAAGTAATCATTATAGGCAAATATTTGAAAGTCCCCTTGATTTCCTGCAAAACACTACGTGCTTAATGGCTTGAAACTCAAACCAGGTTTGGCAATTTCCAACTCAGCTCACTGGATTGAGTTGCACACATTTTTTCACAATCTGACAAATTCCTCCCTGGTAAAAATAGTTCGTCTGGAAAACTAAGCTCTATTTCAATTCAACAAAAATGTTTGGGGGATAAAGATTAAAATGGAATTGGACTTTTTCACTAGATGGTACAGTGGTCATATGTTTTTGTAACACAGCCACTCCACAGTGAAAATAAAAGCCCAATACACTCAGAAGAATTTTGCAATTGAATTTTAGCACACACATCAATCAAGAAACAATCTGTGTCTAAAACAGGCAGTGTATGCAAAAGCATGTGCCGATTAACGTCACTTGTTTAGGGTTTTTCCTATGCTCGCACTCAGCTTATCTGTATTAAAGTGACTTAATTATTTTTATTTGCAAAGACAAGAGTATGTCATAAATCAGTTGGCATACATGCGTGCACAGTGTCTTGTTTTTCTGACAATTGTACATGTACTTTTGTCTTGCAAAGGCAACAGCGGTTCCAATAGTTCTTGAAATAATAGTGTGATTATAGAAAATATCTACAATAGGTACAGTGTACATTTATCAGCATGTATGATTAAGAACCATCTACAACTTTCTTTACAAGACAAAAATATGTTACTATCTGTTATTATAATCTACAAAATAAACATTGTTTGACATACATGTGGTCTTTTTTGATTTCAGCATGTTTACACATGTTCCAAGTCAACCACTGTTGACACCAAATACACATGTCCAAAGTCAACAACTGTTGACACCAAATACACATGTCACAAGTCAACCACTGTTGACACCAAATAAATCTGAAGAACCAAACTGTTTAAATATCCTTATTTTTTGGTACACAACAGTTCAGAGTTCTTTATGGATAGAGGGTAACTTTCCCCTAATCTTTACTTCATGGCTCATGAAAAACAAAACAGGACCCCCCAAAACTCTAGGACCGGTGAATAATAATCCAAAGAAACATAACCACGTCTTGTAAAGAAGTGACTTGCGTACAAAAATCCACTCTGATTTGATGTATCTCAAAACATTCATCTAGTTTGTGTATTTGCTCCAAGTCAGAAATGTGCTGTTTCAGCATAATAATGTCTAATAAATATAACGAAACCTAGTGAGGAGGGGGGACGCTATCCTCAGGAGGGTCATTGGTCGAATCTAGTTGCATGGTTGTACAGAAAATGCAGCACAGCTGAAGGTCTTTCGCCTTCAAAGACAGACACCAGCAAGGCTTGAAAACTGATTTGATTCATGAAACACTTGCCAGTTTCAATACATTTCATAAGTTCTTGCAGGTACCCTTTGCCAACAGGGCTCCTGCACTGACCCATGTGATGTAAGGTACATAATCTGCCATTGTCCTAGGCAAAGACCCTGGTGCCACATGCAGCATTTAGCTTGTATACATAGACAAGCTATCAAAACTGAGACATGGATATATTTATGAACAACAGCCCTACATAGCCCCCTAGATGAGCTAAACAGGTGTGGGAAAGAGGCCATAGATATTGGATAACACCATATTTTTGACATGAAATTTGGGTATTTTTGTGACTTTTCTTCAGATGTTTATTCCTTCTTACTCTTGGGGTGGGAGATAGAGATGAATGTTTCCTGTTACATAATCTATTAGTTGCAAAGTTAATAATTGAGAACAGGGGCATGTTTTTACCGAACTGTTATGTACCAAAAAATAAGTTGCAGTTACCACTGTAACCACACTGGCTGCAGAGTCACGAATTATAACATTACTATTTAAACACACTTTCATGACATTTTTGGGTCATGTCATCTAGATCTAGGCTGTCTGTTTTGGAATGAATTCAGCATTTATTGTGAAAAGAAATTCTGCAAGAAAAAAAATAGCAATTCAATATAACTAAAGCTTTGGATCCACATTAAAATATTAAGGAAAAAATATACATGATATAAGAGTAATCAAAATATAACTGGAAATAGTCTTGAATATAACTACATCTGCTTACGGTAGTACATTTTGTCCTCAAGAATGAAAGACCCCACCTCTGTTGCCCAGGAGAAACCATTTCATGGTGGAAATTTTTTTGCTCAGTCAAAAATGGTGTTAGGAAATACAAATTACGACACACACTTTGTCATCGCCAGGGACGCAGTGCAATCTCTAACTATCGCAAAGCAAGGAGAACAAGTGTAATAACAGTCCCAAGAATGTTAGATTGCTTCATGCTGACAACAGAGAGCTGTGTTTTTAGTAAAGAGCGATATATACAGTATATACAGCTAAGGGTCCAAGCAGTCCAATCCTATTTTGTCACATGAGCCGCTGAAGAATCTCCGCGAAATTGTGCCCTCGGTAATTTGTCAAAGTCCATAGTAAAAAAAAGGAAATCCGTGAAAGGTGATGAAATTCTGTAAAAACTTTGTCAAATGGGATTCACCTTTCACCACTTAGTTTGTTTACAACACTGTGCCCTTGGTTCGCCTCGGCAAACTAATCACGTGTCTGTCTGTAACCGATTTTGTCACTGGTGTCCTGTCAGCATCACAGGAAAGCTGTTTTTATTTCCACACTTGTTGGAATCCAAGGCACAATACAAAACATCCGTACTTACTCTGTGTATCTACATCCCACGCTAGCATTAGAATAAAACTGACACTGATGACTGACGCTCTGATTTAGTCCATACAGACGCATGAGATTTGGCCTGTTGGCTGAGTTGAAAACCAAGTAATAGCCAAGGTTCACTTTTCACAAATCTACTCCCCTGGAGACAGTAAGAAGCACAAACTCTGGCCAGATATGGAGACGATGCGATGACAGCAAAATGCTTTGGCATCCGTGAAGCACCCACATTAATCATTCATTGAGAGGCAATGAGACCATTACAGGAAGAGGTCATTCTGATAATCTTTTCTTGCTCAGAAGCTGCCAGTCACTATAAGTTCTTCAGTTGCTCCATCAAGTCCTCCCCTTCCCTTCCCTCGCCCCAGGCGTTGACCTGTCTCCTCTGTCGAGTCCTGTTGTTGCTCACAGCATGCTGCTGCATCTTGGGCGCGTCCGCATCGTCGTCCACCGCCATGTCTGAGGTAATCACCGGGGTCTGCAGCAGGCCCACCCGCGACCGCGTCCTCTCCAGTTGTTTCCTCCTCTCGGCTGGAAACGCAAACAAAACAGTGACAAAGTTTGAAAGAAAAGTACACTTACATGTAATTGCACACACACACTGCATAAGATGCACTGAGGCCCCAAATCCTCCAACGAGTAAAGGATTGAGACCTGTTTGGGTCAAGGGTTAAGACATAGAGGAGTAGTCCCAGAAATCCCAATATGCCTCTCTTCTTGAGGGATGCATACACTAGTACAAGAAACAAAGACCATTTATCCATTTAACACAAATTCCCCAAACATTCTGGTTCTTACATGCCAAGTCATAGTAACTTGAATCATGCACAATTACATAGAATGGCATTTCAAATCACTGGAATTGGAAGTAGTACAGGGTTGGCATACTAGCCTAAGGGCATTAGTAAAGTATAAAGCACATGCATGTAGGATATGACAGTCTGTCATCTACGAACAGGATATATCCGCTCCCAACTGAAGTGCACCCCCCAAGCAGCAAAAGAAAGACAGGTGGTCGTAAGTTTTCGATGCGGGTTCTTGCATGTGTTCTGCATGTACGCAAAGACCATCCTTTAAGGAATAAATCTGTCATGCCTACTCAGCGTGCTCTGCGTCAAATGCGCAATTGATGTCATTATAAATGTGCGCCTATGCGGTGAGTACTGAAAAAACACACCCTCTTTTGTTCTGCTTGGAGCGGATAGAGGAAATTCAAACATAATTTCCCCAAACTCCAACTATTCACCTCTTTCCTCCAATATTCCCCAAGCCACAGTCAACAACTAAGCATTTAGAATGAGTAGACTCACCTCCAGCAGCTCTTGGCGTTCTCTTCCTGCCTCCTTTGTCTCCCCTGGTGAAGGCTGTACCGCTCTGCAGTGCCTCCAGCAGATTATCCATAACACCCGCCTGGTCGTCGTCTGTGTACACAACAAAGCAAACGATAACACAGATGAGTAACATTTACTAGCAGCACTGGCTAAAAATTGTATAAGCCCGAGTCTAAATCTTGAGTTTGGAACTAGGTCTAGGTCTTGCCCGTTGCAAATGTACACACAGTGACAAGAGACATACATGTAGTAACCGTAGCTCTGGAAACCTGTTTCAGACACGGCCTCTGAGACCCTACAGGCAAAATGAAGACCCTCTCTCAAGTACCATTTTTAACGATATGCTACCGGGTTAGATTTGAAGTTGCATGACGAATACCACGCGGGATTTGCAAGATTTTCTGTTTTCAAAATTCTTCAAAAATTAATAACTTCCTTTACTAGATGTTTACACCCACACGAATGACTGTCTGGTGGCTACTCTAATCTGACAGACAACATTTATTGATGCCCAAGTGTTTCAGTCAGACCTGCTACCTTTTAAAAAGAGCCCAGATTGTGTGGTGTTACGTAATTTTCTTCTGTATCGAAAACTGGCACATCACCTCTGCTGGCATCTTTTCAATAGGGGCCAGATTAGCATGCAGCAGTATTGTATCGCTCATTCGCTCGCGCTGAATGCCACAAACAGTGGTATAATCATTCTTTTGTCTTTTGTTACAAGGCCAAAGGCTTTTTTGTCCAATTTCGGGGCAGCCCGACTATGCGTATAAACCCAAGGAGTCTGGTTCCAAACCCCAGCAGCAAGTGGTTAATATTCCCCTAAGTCTGTGCATACCCACATGCGTCAGTTCTAGTAATGTGGTCACACAGACTATCTACTCTTCCTCCCTTGAGTCTCTACAAACGTTCATTTGAAAAGATTAAAGTGGGGGAGAGCCTTCAGTTGCCTACCAAATACAGTTAACTCTCATTACCCACTCTATGCCGGGGATTCCGAATCAGTTTGAACATGTTTTTTATAAAGAGTAATGTACATCATGTACACGGAGATGAAATAAAGAGTTGTAATAAAACATGTATTACACTGTTATTGAGAAGAACAAAACAGAAAATCAACCAAATGCAATGAAAGCCGACTCATCACCAATCATTGTCCAAGCAAAGTAGCCTGCACGGCGTGGTCGCCGTCACCAGAGAATGCACACGCAAGTACATTAACATTTTAGTTGGTGACCGACTAAACAGATGCCACTTTGTACACGTGCAAAGTGAAGGAAACCAGTTAATTTTTGGTGGACAATTGAGGGTATCGGTCAGGCCTGGATAATATGTCGGACTGTGCTGAATATCCAAATAATTGATCGATAATCAAATATTTGAATATTATTTTCTGAATTTGATGGAAAATTCATGAAAAGGAGGGACAATTTTCTTTTGTTTTAAATGAGAAAAGTTGCACTATGGACGCTTGTTTCAAGCAGAAAAGCAACAGAAATCTTATGATTCAAAAAGTAAATGAGTCATTAAAAATTTAAAAAGGAACAGAACTGTTCAACAGGGCAAGAAGTATTGTTCGTCTCTCAAATTTTGCAAAATCATGGCTCTAGATACTCCTGGACGCAAGAAGCTATTATAGTGATTATAATGTACAATTGTATGTGTTATTGCAACTGATTTGTACATGGTTTCTTCATCAACAATTTGCCAGCTGGTATGACCAAGTATTCGGATATTCGATCGCATTAAATGTCAAATATTCCAATAGTGGATTACATGAATTAAATCAGCCCTAATAATAGTGTCTTTAGTGGGAAATGAAGTTTTTTTAACTTTTGGGATTTAGAACTCGTAAATCTGATTTCCCAAACGACATTTACGGGTAAGAGAAGAATGGATTTTAATGACAAGTGAATTTTAAGTTAGTTTATTGGTTAAGTATGGGCATTTTTCCATTCTCATCATATTTTGGTGGGGAGTTTGTTAACAAGTTTCATTCTGGTCGGCCCGTCTGGTGGCCTGGGAATTACAAACACCCACTGTCCGTTGTGTTAATAGGCAGCATGAAAGTGCCCACAAAGAAAACCCTTTGATTATTCGGGAATCTACAATGTCCAAAATCACAGTCGTGGATTAGCAAGTATTATTGCCGCACCGTGTACAACAGCAACTGTATTGAATAGGTTTGTTGATTGACGAGTTGTTTTCACAATGCTCATGCTAAATAGAGAGACAACAATACATCTACTATCGACCGGACAGGAAAAGCACTTGTCTTGTCCTAAATCTCATGTTACCCAAGCTCGTATTAAAATTTTTTTTCCTCATAAGAATGTACAGATGGTCAGAACAGGTGAGCTTGTATTACCGAGAGACGACTGTACAGACAAAATCATGTTATCAAAAAATTTCTTGTTCTGAGGTGTGCAAACAAAACAATAATCAGCTTTCCATCATGGAATATTCAAATATTTGGTTGTATCTAACTCCCACAAAAAACAAAAATGCATGTCTTTACCAAGTAAACAAAATAGAAGAGAAAATTATTATCGCCAAGGATGGATTTGCACCAGGGAGATGTTCATTAATTTTGGATTTTTTTGGGGGGCCCTGCCCGACGTGTATCATAAAACTATACACTCAGAGTTTGCCCCTAAAGGCTGGTGTGAAAAAAACCAAAAGTGTACTCGGGTGGCACTCGAACCCATGACTTCCTGCTTACTAGTGCAGACGTCTTAACCACTCAACCAGAGCTATTTCCATCCTTAGAAATAGTCGCTCGCAGTACCCGCTGCTACATCTGACTCAACCAGCCACCTGACACTGGCAAGCTATGTAGTCGAGTGGTTAAGACGTCTGCACTAGTCAGCAGGAAGTCATGCGTTCAAGTTCCACTCGACTATACTTGTGTTTTTTTCCACAAGCCTTAAGGGACAAACACTGGGTATACTGTATAGAGTACACGTCAGGCTGGAAAAAAAATCCAGAAAATTATTAGTTGGGCATGTGCATTCAACTCATTTTGTGCGTAGTTGTAACACCTTGAAATAAGTTTTCAAAATGCATTTTTGTAATTGAATTTTTTCCTTTTTCATTTCATTTCATTTCTTTTCACCTCTGAAATACTTAATTTTGAAAATGAAATAATCGATCGAATAATAACAACGCTCTAATCAGCACAGCCCTACTCCTGACTAGAAGCAAGACCCCAGACTTTGCTGGCTATTCATTACTGACTAACCCAGCTTCATTCCTGCCAGCTGGTCCTTCCTTTTCTTCTTGGCCAGTTTCTCTTCCTCCTTCTTCTGCTTGGCCTCCTGCGCTTTCCTCGCCTTCTCCTCCGCCTCTCGCCTCTTCTTGTTCTCTTTGGATGAGAGCTGTTACCATGACAACAAAAAAGATGACGGTTGGATGGTTGACACGGCCCCAAAAAAGTAGGTCAAACTCATTGCTGAGACAGACTTGACATTGACACTGTATGCACACATCCATCTATCCTTCTAAATACCATTCATTTATAATATTCTAACTGGGATGGATGGGAACCTTTGCTCTTCAACTGAATCCATATATTTCTGTATACAACCCATCACCACTGGTACTAATCTTGTGGTGCTCTGAGCAAAACGCTTGCTCAGCAGAATCAGGTGTGAAGCAAAACTATGCAAACAAACAATCAGAAAGCAATGAGTATCACATAGCATCTTGACTGGTATCCGGTACTTGTGAAGCAATCTTTTTCTGGGCTTAGTACATTGCTGTTCTGAGCTACAATGTGAAATCGGCTCCCAACAATTTTTGGTCGTTTCTATGAGTTTATACCAATTTTGCTAAATCTCGATCCTCTTCCAATCTGCTATACTCTTCATTCCCCTTTTTCTATACTACTGGCCACTACAAATTGGAAAACACTTTACAATATTTTGAGAAATATGAAGTTTCCTGTGTTTTTCTCTGACTTCCAGTTGCAAGACTGAGTTACATATGTCAGTTTCAGAAAATTATCAACACCTTATAGCATCAAACACACCTTGTACTCATCCGTGAAGACCTTGAGATCACCAAAGAACTCCTCAAAGGGCTTCTTGGAGAGGTCAAAGCAGTAGAACTCGCCCAGGTGCTTGTAGAGATCCATCATGTTGGTGAACATGCTCTGGAGGGTTTCGTACTGTTCTATCGCTGAACTCAAAAACTCGTACACACACGACAAGGAGTTAAGGACCACAAATACAAACACAAAATAGTAACATAAACCAAGAAATTATTACAAAACAATGACAATGTGTACTTTTGATTTTATGCAGCCAACTAAATTTCTCTTGCTCTGTAACAAGGAGCAGCATGTTCCCAGCTGAGTTCTCAAGAAATTGGCCCCTTCATCCTTTCACTCTGTGGAGCATACTTTGCAAGATTAAAAAAAAAGTTTGCAATGTCCGCCCGGACTGCAACATGTTCTTTGACTTTTCATTCAGAGCAGTACAAGGGAAATTTTGGAAAGTACTCAGGAATGCAAAAACTTGATGCTCATGCAAAAAACGGTTCAGCTTTCAGATGGTGAAAAATAATTCACTAACTAGCTGCTATTTTAGTTCAACAACTTGAAGTTTACAGATTTTAACTTATAACAAACCCCAAATCAATCTTACTTTGCATTTCTCGTTTCCTGAACAGATGACAAAGTATAGTCAGGTCCAAATGACTCAGCTAAGGCTGAAAATTACACATGTCTATGGAAAATGCATGAATCCGCTGGCCAACATCTTCCATAGGAAAGTGTGTCATTTCAAGCCCCAGGAAGTAAATTGGACACGACCTTATCTTAATTTCCCCACATGGAGCACACAAGAAGTGTCCGCTGGTCTCAGGAAAGGATATTCCCATGACTTCCTTGAACCTGTCGTTGCCCTCTTTGCTTGGCACAAAGGACTTGATGTCCGACTCCAGCTGCTTAATCTGCTTCTCCATATTGCGTAGGTTGCCGCTGATTGTGTCCACAGATACTGCGAGTAAAATGATTTTGACAACTCCAGCCATTACCTGTGAAAACTCAAACTGCTCAGAATGACCTACTGGGAAACGCTGGTTCTACCTTTCACGAGCATGCATTGTTCCCTCTGAGAAGACTTTTAGGACAGCCACTTGTCCAGGCATGCAACTTGGACTGCGACAAAATACGAAGAAATTCCAATCTTACAAGACTATGTACAGTGTTGTCAATTTTCAATGGCATGAGTGTGAAGTGAAAACCAGGAAATCAGCTGATCCAAGGAAAAGTTGCATGTCTGACTTGCCACGGGCAACATGTTCCATTTAACAATGGTGAACTGCAGTGATGTCACCAAATGGCCATTTCTACATAACAGACGTGCGACCCCTGAGGCAAAGCCAAGGATGTTATGCATCAACAGTTTCCAAGAGCCATCAATGTAAGAAAACCCCTGTGATTCCTAAACTGACTAATGTGAGTAGGCAACACCGTCTTGTACAATACCTTCACAACTCCATTAGACATCACAAACGATTCCTTTGCTCATACTGCGTTAAATGGTCAGAGCATTACAGCGCATCAGTAACATCCCAAGTATTCCCCTTTGCTGCTCTTTTTGTCCTACAAGACCAACTGGAGAGAACTCCCTACCTCTGGCAGCCTTCTCCGCATGGCTGATCTCCTCCATGAAGTCAGCCACATCAGGGTGTTTGGACTCCACGACCTCCACCAAGAAATTCAGGAAGGTGATTTTGTTGTCAACCGACTTGGTGTTCCGGAGCTGAAATACATGACAGAGGAGCAGAGCATGTTACATAGTGTAGATGGATTGAAATGATTTGAACCGATGCTATTCTATTTTTAATTTTGGGCCAAGGGGAAGGCAAAGATAATCGTGGCTGGATTTGGGGGAGATTTTGTTTCAATTCACAAGACGATTGTTCCCCTGCACCCTTCCTTGCCTCTCTCCACATGGGAGTAGAAATGGATACCGACATTAGATGGGAAACAACCAGCAAAGGTCTGACATCCCATCTGGGGGGAAACAGAAATAGTCTCGGTCACTTCATGCCAAGAGAATTAGAGATAAACACCAGCTGAGGAGCCACATTGGCTCAGAACAGACTTTTTCTTTGTTTTCTGGATAGTTTTGGGAGAGTCTTTTTTTTTTCACTTTATCAAGTTCCGCAGCAGGGAACACTGTTTCTCTATTAAGACCAGAGTGGCTCACTTTAGTTAAGTAGTTGAGGTCAAATCCGAGGGACTGGGCATTCCTGGATCCCGTGTTCATGTAGTTGCCAAACAGCAAGAGGATCTCCAGCAACTTCTTGAACTTCTTACTGTCTCGGACCTCCTCGCAAGCCTTGGTCCCCATGACGACCACCTGAGAAGCAACACAGCACGACAGGACCATATGTTAACAGTTTAGTGGCTAACAGGGTGTCCATTGGAGAATGTTTCACATGGGTAATAGAACCAGGCCTCTTTAGAGTAAAGCTGTTTTTATGAGGTTGGAAACTGAGCTATTTTGACAATGGGAGGCAGTGAATAACATGCACCAAGACGAATCCACTCAACGGGTACATGTATGGCAGCCAGTTTTAGCTGAGAAATTTCAATGGACCCTGACTTACAGGTTTGATATCCTGGATGGACTCCTGGAACCTCATCTTGAAACTGATGGACTGTAGTCGGGGTATCAGACGCTTGATTCCTCCAATCTACAGAAGACAATGAGAAACCGTCTCGTTTGTAACCCTGCCTAGTACATAACACACATTACTATGTGTTATTGACAACATTTACACACACTTGATATGTATTGCATGCAGTACTGTCTGCTTTGGGTAGCGGATAGAAGTGCCCCCATCAGCAAAGAAGGAAAAGGTTTGTGGGGAATGTTTTCATTTTGGCACAAGGCGTACATATGATGACCGTATATTCCAACAGACATTGGTCATGCTTGCCTAGTGCTACCTGTGCAAAGCGTACAAGAACCTCAGTGTACACACATACACCTGTTTTACATACAAAGTGTGGACATTCCTTTGTTCTCCTGTGGTTAAGGAAACTTGAGGAAAATGCTCCTTTTTCTCCAAATAGGATAACTCCCTCGGGCTGGATTTTTGATGATGATTTCCTGGACTGTTCCTCTTCATTTTGCCACAGATAACCTTGACCCCAAAATGCCTCTGAAACTGTTTTTCAGAGAGGGGAAAACACCGTGTGGACGTGTGCGAATCCACACAATGCCACCATACCCTACATAATGTGGACTTTTTGAGCAGAAGTCCACACTATATATGCCACGTCTGCACACAGTGAGTCACCGAATAAAGGGCAGTCACTGCTGTGTCAAAGCACACCACCTCTTGTTCCTGCAGTGAGCAGAGAGGCAATGAAGAAATTGCCCAAGCTCTGAGCATTTTGTCAGTTCCCATTCCATTAGGTCAGGGTTCCTACATCTTTCAAAGCCTTTGCAATCCAAACCCTTCACACAACCACTACTCACAGTGACACAGAATTGTTCAGCTTCGGCCATGTCTTCAAATTGGTCTTTAAGTTGATAGACGCTGTTGATCTCCTCTGGTTCTGGCAGGTTTTTGAGCAGAGACTGAATCATGCCCTCATTGAGATGATCCTCGTCAATTTCCAGGATCCAACGTTTCATGTCCTGGTGGGGAACCCTCAGGGAACCCAGCAGGATAGCTGCAAATGAAAACCAAATATCATCAGGAGCACGGATGAGGGACAGCTGCTGAAATAATTCAACTGAGTCCTACCAAAAACCACAAGAAGCACCACGTTTAGACGGGCACCAGAACGTGCTTCCCTCAACTGAATTAAGTTACTGAAATCTTAGGTCACATAAACTCTGCCCTGTTCAATTGTACCACAATGCAACATGAATGCTGTACCTCTCAATGAATTCAGATTTAATCCTTAAGATGGAAGACAAAAGGATTGAATCATTCGTAACAGATTCTAGTTATTTTTATCCCCTTTGCTGGATTTTTTTGGATATCACACTGAGACTTATTTTGGCTCCTGGACCACGAAGTTTACATTTTTATGGGTAACCAAACAACGGTAAAGAAAAATAGAGTTGTGTGGTTCAGACGTCAGTACTGCTACATGGGCACACTTTCATCCTCAGACAGCAATTTCGTATTTACTGCAAAAGCAAACACAGATGCAATTTTATAAACATCAGATCAAATAGTCCTGCTGCGAATAGGCAAGTTTAATCAACATCAACTCGAGCAAATCTGGCTGCAGCAGACTTCAAGACACGACGGTTTTTCTTCTTCCCAATGTCTCTATCTCCTGAACAACATCTGTTTTAACTTACCCAGGTTTTGTCCTGTCTTGGCGTCCAGCACCTTGAAGGCTTTGACCTTCTTCTTTGATGCCACCTTTTGGCCATCACCAGTGTCTTCACCAAGCTTTTTGGCAGCTGCAGGCCGCACGAAAAATCAACATTTATGAGCAAGGTGAAATATTGCACCTGGCAGTTAGAAGAAAGGTTAAAGATGTAAGGAGACACATTTGAAGATGAAGAGGGTAAAACCAAGACTGACCACAATCTCAACTCAACTCAGAGCTAGTTTGGTATTCTAGGACCATATGTACGAAGTCCAGAGCCCTGCAGGATATTTGAGGACATCAATATGCGCATGTGCAAGGTCGGCCCTATCAACCAGCCGTACACCGACTCACATGCACTGAATATGGTCAAGCTGTCAGGAGCTTTGTTTTCAAATGGCTTGGCCTTCATGAAATACCAGACTTGCTCATACCAGTGAAAGCAAGAATGTCTCTTTATTCCGTACCTGGTTTGGAAGCAAAGACGTTTGCCAGTTCCGTCAAGATGGAGTCATCTTCAATCTTCTCCTCATCTACCTTGACCCAGAATGAGTCCTTGTTAAGTACCCGTGGTTGAATCTGTAAAATTTATCCCCAATACTCACAAGTGTCAAATACCCATTGAGTCTGTACCGGATGGTAATCAGTGGAATCTATGCATTTACTCAATTTTACCTGGGACAGACAAGGAGTGTGTATACATGCATTTGTTACCAGATCCAACAAGTTGAGATTGAAAGATGTTTTTGGCTCATTTTTATCATTCTCAGACAGAGCTAACTCGACTTTTTATTTTGGTAAAGAAAAAAATTAGGCAAAATTGTGGGTAAAAGTTGACAAAAGTTGATTGATTCTATCCATCGGCATTGTACAGTATTTAAGGCCCTGTAACTCAAGTACACCTCTGGCAATTTTGAACTTGTTTTGGTGGATCACATACACGAACATGAAGGGAACAGAAATTATAGGTCCGAAACCAACAAAGTTACAACTGTGTCGCAGCCAAATCAAGGATCATGATTTTCTCCTGTTCATGAATTCTTCTTTGACTGCTAATGGATACCGATTGGCACGGCACTGCATTGTTTATCCACCTTATTCCAGTTGGCTCTCTTCAGCGGCGTCTGCAGATCGTACTTCTTCTTGGCTCTCATTCCGTGGGGAAGCTCTGCTACCGGCGAGGGTGTGAAGGGGCCCCTCCCTCCTATCATGGGCACCCCACCGGGAGGAGGGGGTGCACCGGGAACTCCCATACCGGGGGGTGGTGGGGGAGGGGGTGCACCTCCACCCATACCAGGGAGAGGCGGAGGGGGTGGGGCACCACCCATGCCAGGGGGTGGTGGGGGCGGGGGTGGGNGGGGGCGGGGGAGGGCCACCACCTATACCAGGGGGTGGTGGGGGAGGGGGCGGTCCACCCCCAATACCTGGGGGTGGCGGTGGTGCTGGCACTCCTGCACCCCCTGGGAGTGGGGGAGGTGCTGGTACTGCACCTCCAGGTGGAGCTGGTACTGATGAAGGGACAAGGACACCTGATGCAATCTGGAGAAAAAGGAGTGATTTAAAAGTAGTTTAAAGTAGACGTGCTCAAAACTTTACAGGATATGCAACAATTTCACTAATTTAACCAAGCAAAGTAATTTTTCTTCCAATATTCCGGAGAACTGCTACATGTACGTCTGCTTTAAATCTAACAACCAGATGTCATTGCATACCTGTGCTTCAAGTTCTGCTATCTTCTTCTCATATTCTTCATTTTTTTTATGGGCCTGAGACAACTTTGCGTCTGATTCCTGCCGTGCTGTCAACTCTTGTTCCAGCTGGAAAAAGAATGAAATGTGAGGGTCAAAACTCGACAGAACTTTCAATGAATAAAAGCTTACATACCAGTATCTTCAAAGGTTCATGTACCTGGCAAAAAATAAATGACATTTGAGCTCTGAAAATGTCTACATGTGCATTCCTAACTTTTTTAGACCAATGTGATCTACACATAAAGTACATATTCTTCTCAGTCAGGAACAGTATAAGTGAACTGCTTTATGCATAGAAAAGTTACGCAAACAGTACACAGGACATCTATCCAGTCTTACAGTGACTGTGAACAAACACTGTATAAGATCTACGGTCAGAAATTGTGGGCTCAGAGTGGGAAACAGTCCTTCTTGTGCTCTTACATTTCTGTAAATGTGATAACTCAACACAACAGGTTCAACAGACCCAGGTAACCTTATTAAGTGTGCTGGGGAAATACTGTACATTTTGCCATTGTGGAGTGGGTACCTCCAGGGCTTGATTAAACAAAATTACACAGAATGGAAACATTTTACTGAGAAGAAATTTAAAAAGTGCATGTCTTTATCACCTATCAGTGATCTAGTTGGTACTCAGAAGTAGAAAAAAAGGAAAATTTCTGTACTAGTCTACAAACCCCAACTTACAGTCCTGGACAAACCTGTTGGGACACGTGTTAACACCCATACCCTTTGCATGTCCCCCCTCCCCCCGGTCAATGTTGTCATCTGGAGCTGGAGCGCAGACCGCGCAGTGAGACCCAACATTGAGAGGGGCCGGGGGGGGGGTGGGAGCCAACAAGATTTGGCCAGGATTGTAGCTGGAAATTTACACCGAAGACGCCATTTGGTCTGAAACCACATCAAATTTTCAACATATCTGTGAACTAAATCGACAATGGGAAAGGAAAGAGCAGATTAAAAGCATTAGAGTTTAGACCTTCTCCATAGGGATTGAATTCAGCTTATCTCCGAAGGATGTGCTGTTTGTTCTCACAGACAGGAACTATAGAATTAAGTGATCATGTTGAGCACTTACTGACAGCCTTAGGCACTAGACCATTTCCAGGGGACTTGACACAATTAATGGACTAGTGGAGACAATTTACCAATGCAAAAGGACCGATGATGTCAGTTTTAAAATTGAGGACAAAAACTTTCATAATGCAATATGTATAGGGTACATTTTCATTTGAGGAAAGGAAAATCTCTCATACAGGGTAGTAGCAACAGGTCAGCAATTATTTCATTTTAATTCCACAGGATTTTGCAATTTGACCACAGCAAATTGTACTTGAGGCATTTTTCAAAAATGTCTTCCAATCTGCTTTAGGTCAAACAAAAACTTAGTTGTGTTTCCTGTTACACTAAAAAATAAATCAGGATGGTTGGTTGGGTAAAATAGTTTTTTTTAATCTAAATTTTTATAGCCCCAAAAATTAGGGTCGGATGATGATCTGTAATTTTTGGGCGGGCGTCACGCATATTTGTAACAGGTATTACATGTACATGTAAGTCAGTGCAAGATGAATACTGTACATGTGCGCGTCAATATTACATATCAGCATTGTAATTGAGTAGTAAAGCAGCTGATTATTGAAATACAAACACACAAGAGCCGTCCATCTCATGCTAAAAAAAAATTAATTAAAACAATACAATGTACAGGAAAATGTACACAAAATGAGGTTTGGGGCAAGGCACCACAAGTTTTTATATTTTATTGATTTGTCCAATAAACAGATATAGGTTCCGCATGATTTTCTACGTTGGGTCGGGTAACTGGCTATATCTTTGTTTGGCCTCAACACTTTATGCATTCACTCCATACAAATTGAATAATCTTTTCCCAACAGGAATTTGAATTTTGAAATCTGGTGTTCACATGAGTGCTAATCTAAATGTAGTCTTCAAATTTGAAATGCATACTTGCAGGAAAATTAATAAAAAACTCTTTTTCCAAGTTTAGTCAGAGCCTCAAACTGTGCAGGTGAAATTCTAGGGAAGTACATTCCTCTGGTTGAAGGGTGAGTCAACTTGGCCTAATTTTGTTTGGCCTACTTCCTGACTGCAAATAACGTCTTGGTCTGATGTGAACCTGAAGTCTCCAGACAAACAAGTTGGCACTGAGTAAAAACTTCCTCAGCCACAACAACTTCTCCAGACTTGATGAGTTGTCTCCACAGGAAACGACTGTGGTCAAGACAAGAGTTCCCGTTGGGATGAAGGAAGACCCACGACTACAACAGCCAACCAAGCAACTCTATTTTCAAAAGACGTCAGACTGGAGAAATGACCTCACAGAACGAGGACAAATAACAACTACCTTTCAGTTATAATACCTCCTTGGTCAAATCAACCATGACAATTCCCTTCCCCCTCCCCTCGTGCTCTCATTGGCCAAGTTCTCATGAGGACATAGATGTGGAATACAGGGCCTACACATACTCACTGGCACATTCAAACCAATCCATGTCAGACCTCCTAACGGTGAGGGACACATTTTGCCAGCAGGTATCCTTGTGTCTGAGACTTACATTGAATTGATGGTCACAATAGTATAATCACAACTATAAGACTAGTGACTCACAGCAAATTTGGGAGAGAGGACAGAAAACTCGGAAGCTCTGCAAAACAAGATGACATTGGCACTGCACAGATTCATAAGTCTCCACGGACTATACCGGTCCATTACTAACAAAAAATGGAACTTATCCTCTTGAGAGACTTTTGTTTTTGAGATCCTTCAGCACAGGAAGTGGTGAAATAGGCACACGTTCTACATGGGGCCACCAGGGGCAGTAAATGCAAGGGGAACAAAATGCCTGAAGAATTCCGTTGGTCGTTGTCTAAGGAAATGAACACAATTGAATCTGTGGGTGTGACAGAATTCCCCAGCTGGTCGGCATTTGGTTGCTACACCGGCATGAAGTAAACACCACTGGCCATGCCTCCTGGGCTCAACCTCTGGCCGAGTTGACCTGTTCCACTGTTCTCACTAGATTGGTCAGACTACTTATCACATGTCCAGTTAAATTAGCACAAGCCCCACAACAAACAGGTAAGAAAAGCACACTCACCTCTTTCTCTAACTTGCCTGCCTTCATCTCCAGGGTTTCACAGTACGCTTTTTCTTTGAATCCCTCTGTGAAACAAAAAAGTGTCAACAATTAGCGTCAAAACACACTGATTTTGAACCTTTCGTCTATTCTAACTTGTCAGTAAATGTTCCATGACTACTTAACTTTGAGCATGTCCAAGCAATTTTGATTTACTTACCTTTATAAATTATGCTTAAAAATGGTGAGACCCACAAACCAAAATCTCACACTAATATGATCACACCTATTTGATCAAAAGTTGTCTGGGAATCATCTGGCTAATGTGTCGACATCCAGTGGAGGGATGTTATATTTTATGCCCATCCAATCATAAAAACCACTTTACAATCGCAGAAGACTCCAAGAGCTGCTACAGGTAGCTACTGCTCGGTAAAATCACAAAATAAATGGACTGCTTCAGACTTATAGTTTTGTCAACTTGAATTTTTGAAGGCAAAAGTACCCGGAAAGTACTCGGCTTCAAAATTTAATTTTACAAAACTGTGATAACAAAAGTCTTACATTTAATTTGTAATTTAACCTGTATCCATTTTCCATCCAACGTCCATGTTCTCCAGCTTTGTTCACACCTAACTAGTTCAATATTTGACAGAAATACTTGGTATGTAGAAAGCACCTGACTACAACACTGCTTTAAATGCAACTTTTTTGCAAGCTACAACACCCTATTGATGGAACAAGCATTTTGTGCATACCTAACACCTGAACACAGGTGCGGCATCACCACGGTAATGGATTCTAATTCTGACAGCAGGAACTATCTACAAACAAATCAACGAACAAGGAAACTGAAGATTCAAGACTTCACATGCCCTTGGTCAACTCACATAAACAGAAGGCTCTCTTGCCATAAATAATAACCAGTACCTAATTCACGGCACATGCTCACCTGTGAGAAGGTCCACGTCAATTTCAAATTTCCGTGTATACCTGAAGTCTGGATCCATACCCGATCTGTGCAGCACAATCTGAGAGACGCATTCTTCTATTAATTTGTAGTACTGTGGCCTATATCAGAAAATACAAGATCTTTCAGCAAATACTGATTTCACACTGGTACAGTCTCCTCATTCAAGTTCCAAACTGACAGGTATCATGAATGATACATATATGCTGGTACTTTGTTATTACACAATAAACGGAACCATTTCAATCTCTGAACGCTCAGGATCACAGAACATTCAATTCAGAATGCCAACTACTTGTCTTAAAAACACATGCTGTTCCTCTGGGTACATGTAACATTTACTCCTACACTAATAGTGTATGTTCAATTTGGGATAGCTTGTTCTTGGTAATGAAATGGGCACATTGCACTGCACTTTTATCTTTTCTTGTGCAAAAGTTTCACTGAGAGTACACATGCAGCTTAAGTTAATACCACAAAACGGTTTAAGTGGTAAGTCAAAAGAGAAAATGAGAGAAGAGTGATATATATGCGAAAAGGTGAAGAAAGTACTATCACATTTATTAAAAAAAATTGGTGAGAAATCGTAAATTGAACAAAGTCATAAGAGAGTAGGGAGACTACAAGGATAACACGAGTCTTAGGCCGTGTCCGAAATGGGCTTCCGGAGCTACGGCTAGGTCTACGCGTCTCCACGCATTTCTAAGGGAGCGAAGACCTAGACCTAGCTCTAGACCAGAGATTCGGATGCAGCCTTAGCTATTGATCAAAAAGTTCAAGTGATGAAAGTTTCTAGATGAAAACTAACAGCGACTTTACCTCATAGCACCATCTTCTCTGATCATGAGCAAGTGCTGGAGAATTGACAGGAAGAACGGCTCGGCCGGCGTGTCGGCGATGACCTGGTGGAGCAGCTGGTATGCTGACTCCTCATCGGTAAGTCGCAGTTAAAGAAAAACAGACTTGAACATTCTCTGTACCTTACTGAACACACAGACCATGGTATGTACACCACTCAGAAACAAAGAAGTTACCTTTGAGGCCAAACACAGGGCAATGTACTATTCACTTTTTTGTAACATTAAACAACAAGAGTGGGGATTGCAGTAACCGCTGATCTCTACATCCAAATAGCAAACAGGGAGCTGTCACAATTAAAAAAGGTTGCATAGTTCTCGGAAAGCATTACTGTCTTTCACAGCCACAGTAATGAAATACAGTCATAAAGACCCAACTAGAGGAATCATTTAGCTAGGTTGAGGTGCAACAGAGAGAACCTGCACTTCTTATCACATGAACCAACTTTGCAGCAACACAAAAACTACTCTCAGTGCCAGAAACAGGTCCAATTTTTTCAACATTCAATGCGACTTTTCCATTTCCAACTCCTGAAAACAACACATTTCAAAGGATATTCTATCTCAACTTTGAGCCCTTCAAAGCGATGGCAGAACTCTTCATAGTCGTCCTCTTTGTGCTCATCGAAAACTGTGACCTGGGTTTCCAGCTCATTGCTCTTATTATCTCGTAATTCCTATCATAGTGAAAAAGGCAAAAACTTTATTTAGAATGTGCGGCTTACTTAACCCCTTGATGACGGGAATTTTTTTCCAAGAGCCGACTCAAAGAATTCCAGCCTCACTTGGCCAAGAAGGCAACCTGCCAAAATGCAAATTCTCGGTTTGTGGCCCTGCGTGCTCTGCACGCTCTGAATTACCCAGTGAAAAGGCTCATTGTTCGGTGGCATGTGGCTCTACTCACGCTTCCACATTCCCGTTGCCTCTTTTCAAAGTGGGGACTATTGCGAAGCTGGTGATTATGATGCAAATTCGGTCTTTTCATTTCTGGGCTACACACAAAGGCCAATCACCATATATACAAGAGCCAGGGTCTGCCTTCTTTCACCGTGTTCGCTCGAGTGTGGGCCGAGAATAATAGTTGAAAAGCGAGCTGAGGATCTCAATTTCTACAGCGGCTCTTACCGTCTCACAGCGCAAAGGGGTTAACGGCAACAGTATGAAAAATCTCTTTCCGTAATTAGTTAAACTACTTACATTTTTTTCCCAGGAAATACACTTTATTGTGAGAAAGCTGATTCAAAGTTGGATTTAACAAAATTAAATGTGACAGTTGTTTAGGAGTTTCTTAAATTCCAACAAAATCTAAATCACAAAAGGAATTATTCTCTCCTTTGCAGCAAAGTCAACTTAAAATGCTTCCGCGTCATGAAGTCATGAAAAGTCTACGTGTCAAAGAAATACAAGTAATCAAACATCAGACAAAATCTGTTGTGGCACATGCTAAATGAATTTATTTACAAGCTATCTAAACAAAACAACATCAAATTTTCTGAATGACTCATGGATGATGCATTCCAGCTGGTTCTTATGCTTGCAGAATTATCAAACTCCAGACATAGGGACAAGTGGGAAAATGGGATTTGAACAGAGGGGAGAGTCGACTTCTGTTTTCACTTGTCTCATAGGGCTTACCTGAAGAGGTGATGATACTGTTGGGTGTTGCCCAACAAGTGTTCCCGACAGGACTATTAACCATTTATACTGGTTAAGACGGAAATGCCGTCACGCTGCATATTTAGCACAATGCAGCTGCCAATGAACATGCCAGCCTAAAAATAACTACTGTCAACTCACTTGATATTGTTTCAACCTAAATACTACTTTTTCAGTCAAAATCATGTAAGAGGTTTTGACTTTTAAACTCAGTGCAACTGTTTCTTCCCAGATAGCTTAGTAACTTGGACACAGCAGTCCACACACACAACAGGTCTGAGATTCAATACAAGTTTCTTGTGCTTTGCTAATTCATTTGGAATTTACAGTTGCCATCCTTTCGTTCTAGTTTCTCAAACACCTGCATCACATATGCTTGTTTTATGATGTTGAGCTCAAATCCTGTGCGGTACAGTTTCAACAACACTCAGATAAATGATTACATTGCACCTGTGATTTGCAATCTGTGATCTAACTTCAGCCACACAAAAGATTCCCACACAGATTACAACAACTTACGGGCAAGAGATCCAGCATCCCAGTCCTGAGGAATTCATTGCGTAGGTGTAACCTGAAGTCAAGCTCTTCGGGTTCATGTGGCGTGATAATGACTGCATTCACTAACTGCATGCACACCGCCTGCATATAAATGGAGGGGAGAAATATTAGCATCTGGATAAGAGGTTGAACCAAACAAAACGAAACCAAACAAGAAGCCAAAGTGTTTCATCTCTCTACATTATGTAGCATTCAAAAATGACACTAATTGAAACATTGGCATTTTTAATACTCATTGAAACCACACACACAGAGTAACGCTTCCGAAAAACTCACACAGGACAAGGCACTGCAACGAGCCGGTTAGGTTTTTTAAAATGGCAAGTTCCTTCAAGAACACAGCACCCATGCATGAGTCGGCATACGGCTGCACTAATAGGACAGACTATTGCATGCGCGCTGCTGTTGCTGAATAGCCACGGAATACCATGGATGCACCATAACCCTCTCCACCGGACTAAACACAGGCAAAGAGGACTGATAAGAACAGAGGGCTGTCTACCACGGACAGGAAAAAGTCTTTTGCTCCCTCTGCATCCCCATCCTCGATGGTAAAGCACATACAGTGCGACTGAGTCGCCAAAACCAATTACATACATACTCAGCTGTGGATCAGCTGGGTAGTTACGGCAGAAATCAAACAGCTAAGAGAATTAAATACGCGCGACTCACAAGAGTGCGCCACCAAGAGTTTGCAACGCGTTGGCCAATCATAACGCGCCAAATTTGTCGACCCTTTCCAAATGCGCACCGAGTCGACAAATTTCGCACATTGTGATTGGCCAACGCTTTGCAAACTCTTGGTGGCGCACTATTGTGAAACGGCCCTATTGAATAGCTCTGTCTGTAGACTGACTGACAGTCAAAAACTCTCAAAACGCCATTGTTTCCCAAGATAGGACAGCAGCCACTGAATTTCAATATCTAACATGTGGCAGCTTTATATAAATCAATTAACTCTCCATCCTCACCACATTTATGGAGGCGTGGTACTCAACCCAATTGCAATAAACAACCTGGACGCACTCCACCCGCAGCTCCTGAAGACACTGTAAATTCTCATCCCAAAAAGCCATCTCTCTGAGGCTTCAGGCCCGGCTCAATTGACAAGCGACCCCGAAGTGTCCCTCACAGGCAGCTAGGGTTAAGGCAACTGTCATTTGTGACTGAACACTCCAAAGTGAGTGACTACATTATGACGCACCGACGAAACAACACCACACATCAGCAGTTTTTAGGGAAGGGCAAGGCTACTGTCCCTTCCTTCAGGTTCATCAACAGGTTAGCTGTCTGTCCTAAAGACGTGCCAACATGGCTGCGACAGCCATTTGAAGACAGGCTATTGCTTTGCATTTCATTTGTCAGTCAGTGCATGCACAGACAGTCAATTTCTCCTGCAGAGGGGACCTTTCAACGTGGATAGTTTACTAACATCCAAGCTTCATGCTTAACTGTGGTAGATGTGCGTGTCCTACTATGCGCCAGTGGCAGGTGCCAGGTTGCACTGCATGGTGTCTATGTTGGTTTAGTCAAAGTTGGTGCATTGTGATTAAAAAAGAGGTACGTGACCAAAACACATTAGAATTTTTATGATAACCACAGACCACTCAAGACACTTTAAATAACAGTATTGGAAGCCCCCTTCCCCACAAAGTGCTGAGCCATGCCACCAAAAATATCCTGGACAAATAAACCATCTGCCTTGGCAGATGTCATGTCCATGTTTCACTGTTTGTAGCCCCAGAACCCGGAAGCCATTCATTCATGTGTGCAAGACATCTCACAGGTTTACCAAGCAGCTGTCAATGTCCAATCAGGTGTTCCAATCTGTTATCAGCACCTCTCCCACAACCCAGACAGCTGTAGATGACTAACCCTGATTGGTGGGTGTGAGTCACATGAGGGGTGGAGGTAGAAATGTCCATCTCGATTTAAATGCACATATAGCGAAGAAATGAAGCAAAAGACCTTGAGATTAAAGGGTACCAAGCATGCTGTTCAGTATTTTACTGTAGAAGACTTTCAACCCAACTACTACATGAATTGTGAAGCATCTGTTGGCAAACGCAATCCTTCTTGAGCAGAAGTACCCCCTCATAGATTGAAAAGAGCCACATTGGTGGGGAGCATTAATTTTGTTGGTAGCGACACAACCTCAACATGTGCATTTTGTAGTCAGTTGTAAACCAGCAAAGTCCAATTCCCACCAAAGGGGCCTCTTTTGCTAGGCAATCTTCACCCTCTCTTGGTCCTGTTCAGGGCACATAGATGCATGGAGTGACACCTCAAATTGCCTCAGTGACAGCCTCAAACTATCAATAAAAATGTTTCTGCCATCTTCACAAGATTCCATCTTAGAAAATCAACATTCAGTAGTTAGCCATGTGTTGAAACTTAATTTGAATCCCAGGCATCGATCTTTTTCATGGCACTTTGCAAATAAACATGAATTCCCCAGACTAGCTGGTAACTACTGCTATGTCTTCATGCGAGGCAGATCCTACGCCATTAAGACCAGCTGCAGGGGGGATGGTTGTGTGATAAAATTGCTCCTGGGTACCTCCCGACTACTATAGCTATGTAAGAACTTTCCCTGATGCATGTGATACAGTTATAGTGCACCACGCCCAGAGAATTCAAAGTTATCAGACTTTGCTGCATCTAATCAATTATCACAAATCAAAAATTGACCTTATACTATCACTTTTTTGAAGCCGTGAAACAGATGTACAGCAAATGCATATTAATTCTTCAAAATCACAGACAGACAGACGCAGCACGAGGTTCCATACCTGTAGTGTAGGATTCTCCTCCTGCTTCAGAGCCTCAATGATGGGGGCAAATCTCGGCCGACTCCTGAACTCAGCCACATCTGTGAGAGCGGCCAACACTTTCTCGTGCCTGATGAAAGAGCGGACAAAGCATACTGCCATTAAAGAGCAGCAGGCGAGTCCAGTTTGCTGCTTGTAGCATGACAAGTTGCTCTTGCTGCTCCACTAACCCTAAGCATATCTACTAGGTGCTGAACAGGGTTATCAGTCCGGTTCTTGTCCGCAGCCAGAAAATAAGGGCCAGAGAAGCCTTAATACACCTTGTGGACGCCTGATATTAGTCCAACATTTTGAATCTCAAATGTAAAAAGCCCGAAAGGAGGCTTCTGCCTGAAAACCAGCATCCCTGGTACGGTCAGCAACTCCGTCAAAGCTACCAGTGCACAGATCCTGAAAAAAGCTACTTTACACACAAACTGCACGTCATTGATTACAATACTACCTGAGCTGGTATTCACGGAAGTAATCCTTACAGACCATCTTTAAGTCCAGATAGGAGGATGAAATTCTAATGTGTTATCAGAGTAGCAGGTCTCAAAAGGTCTTAGATTGATTGTGTAGGAAATCCCATAAGCGAGCACTTTAGGCAACTGGTGCTTAATATTTACACAACATGAGGGGAAAGTGGTTAGAGGAAGGGGTAAATTACGGTACTTGGTAGATTCCCAGGGGTGATGTGCCCATGGCAAGGGTGTATGTGTTTGTATTATGTCTTTCCCAAAATCCCTCATGCTTATCGTTACGGCTGAATCACCCCCCTCTCCCTGGGCTTTGAAACTGCCCAAAGCCTATGGGCCTCACGCAGGGAAAGACCATACCATTCAGGTTGAAGGGGCAGGAGGAGGGGGTACTGACAGCAAACAGTCAACGCCCAAGACACAATGGGTTAATGTGGGAGGAAATGAAATGTTATCAATTTCTTCCTGGATAATGAAAAACACAATAAACAATGCCAGAAAGAGGGGAATTCCGCAAGTGTTGAAATAGTTGAAAACTTGCGACAAACTCTTTTAACTGATCCAGCTTGATTTCAAGATATTTTGATTTACCGCTTTGTTTCAGGCAAAACATTCATAAAATTGCTTCAATCTGACTGATCACACTGCAACAAACAGTCAACGGGGAGACTTTATCCCCCAAAAAAACTTGCTTGACACCCCCATACCTACCACATGAAAGCAAAGCCAGCACCAAAATCCTATAGAAACAGGTTGAATCACTCCGACAAATTCAACTTTCCTATAAACAGCAGGCCAACTTTGGACAGTACCAATGGTACATCAGTAATTTGGAGTCAGATTGGTTTTGGCGGGGCTGCTTCCTCAGCAAACAGAATCTTAAGTGAGGACATTCACAAGCCTTCCAGACTTCCCACAGCTAGGGGAAGGGGGTTGTGCAGCGAAAACTTGAAGTCGCGACTTACCCGCCTGGGTACAAGCACACGGCGGCAAGCAGTCGCACCGTGTCCACCATGATTTGCTCGTGCCGGGGGTCCATTGTCCCTGCCACTGTGCTCAGGGCGCCCTCCTTGGAAAACACCATCTGGATGCCATACTTGTTGTTCATAAACGCCTTCAGACATTTGATGCACTCGTGTCTGATATCTACGCTCCGCTGGTCTTCCCTGGGTAAATAGAGGTTTTAAAAATTAACAGAAAATAAACTGATGTAACCATTACCAATAAAGATTTTGTTACGGCATTTTTCATCAACCTCGTCATCAAAACTTAACCGCAAGCTAATTTGACAAAACTAAAGTTGATCAGGGAGAACTTTGGAGGGTTTTGGCTTGTTTTGTTTTTCATTCGCAAAACCTACAAACTAATATTTGATTTTTCTTTTAAATGTTTGAAAAGACCCTTTTGACTGTGCTGGAAAGCTAATCAACCCTTTTATTGCATTCTGATGACATTACGAGAGTTGAAGGGTATGGGCTTTGTGCATAAGCTGCAAAGGACACCAGGATAACATATGGGCCCCACAACCTGCCAATCACAAAGGAGTTGCTCACTGACTTCATGTAACAGATAACAGCAGAGCTGTACTGTTAGTGGAGTTATTATTAAATCATCAAAAGTGTATGCAATATCACTCAGTCTCTTGGGTAACATGACAAGATATTCAAATAAAACATGGAACAGGCTATATTTTTATCCAGTGTTTTATTCGAGTCCGTTGCAAGTCCCTGCAAGTCCCTGTAAGTCCATCACAAGTCATTCAGTCTTAAGCCAATAAGCCACTTGTGAGTTAAATTTGAAGAAAATCTGGTACACTGTGTTATCTGATTGCACAGAAATATAATTTGAATTTCCAGGCTAAAGACACTTTGCTACACCTCATGATTCGGGGCAAGCTTTTGCAAGGGGTCTCTTATGTAACTAAGCAAAAGCTTGCCCTGAATCACGAAGTATAGCAACAGTGGTTTTAGTATGGAGAATTCAAGTTGTAATGTTCACTCAGTGGACCAGATTTTATTCAAATTTAACTCGCAAATGGCTTACTCACAAGCTTTTCAAATGAGCCGTGACAAAGCATTCTTTGTCATTGTTCACCCTCATGCCTGAGACTGGCCTTGTGAAAGGACTTGTGACTGGCCTCGTGAAAGGACTTATGACTGGCCTTGAGAAAGGACTTGTGACTGGCCTTGAGAAAGGACTTGTGACTGGCCTCGTGAAAGGACTTGTGACTGGCCTCGTGAAAGGACTTGTGACTGGCCTCGTGAAAGGACTTGTGACTGGCCTTGAGAAAGGACTTGTGACTGGCCTTGAGAAAGGACTTGTGACTGGCCTCGTGAAAGGACTTGTGACTGGGCTCGTGAAAGGACTTGTGACTGGCCTCGTGAAAGGACTTGTGACTGGCCTCGTGAAAGGACTTGTGACTGGGCCC